CGACGTCCGTGGTGGTCAGAGATCATGCGGGATACTATGGTTAGAGTTCAGTGCACATGGAAGGTGAAGGTTCCATATGGCATATGATGGAGTTATTGTGTGCGTATGGGATACGGAGTTGAATTTGGAAGCAGTCCAAATTTGGTATGATTGGTTATGTAAAGTTTGTTTCTTGTACTAAGAGGTTTCCTAGGGTGATTAGGACTTCTAGTATGAGTTTGGTTCGTGGCTTTAGGCTGTCTACCTCGGGTATAAATAGAGGGGGAGCGTGAGGCTTCCCGATATCGCTTCTGAGAGCAATTGAGTTGATAGTTGAGTTAGGGTTTCGAGTTTAGTTGAGATTATTGTAAGGAGTTTTGTTGGTGCACTTTGTAAACACAGAGAGAATCAATAAAGTCGTCATCCACTTTAAGAGTTCTTCGATTTGTGTTTCACCGGGTTTCGGCGGTCTAATCGGCGACACACCGGCGGTCAGACCAGCAGGCTCGTGACGGTCAGACCGGCGACAACGATAGGGAGCAGAGGCGATCTCAGGGTGGTCGGACCGATCGATCTAACCAGTCAGACCGACGGCTTCCAGGCGGTCAGACCGGCGCAACACTTTCAGTCAGACCACGATCCGTCGAATTTGAGGGTAAGTTTTATTTCCGCTAAAAGTTTTTGTTTTTTGGCATACCAACCATTCACCCCCCTGTGGTTGACTTAGTTCTAGTGTTTCGATCCTATAAGTGGTATCAGAGCCTTGTTTTCTTCTTTGGATTTTAACCGATCTACGAGTTTTTGCCATGGCTGTTAGGTTTTCAACTAAGCCTCATGTTTTCGATGGAACTGATTTTTCTCATTGGTGTAGTAGGATGCAATCTTACATTATGGCTGAGTTTTATGATATTTGAAGAAAAGTTTCTCATCCTTATGTGATTCCTGAACAAATTAATATTGATGCTTTAAAAATTGAATTTGAACAAAATTGCAAAGCTCGCAATATTCTTTTGAGTGGGATTTCTCGTTTGTATTATGATCGTGTCTCTCATCTTCAAACTTCCCATGAGATTTGGATTGCTTTGAGTAATTTTCATGAAGGAACTAACAACATTAAAGAACTTCGTCGAGATCTTTTCAAAAAAGAGTACATTAAATTTGAGATGAAACCTGGAGAAGCTTTGGATGACTATCTTTCTAGGTTTAACAAATTTTTGAGTGATCTTAGATCTGTTGATTCTTCTTATGATATTAATTATACACAATCTGAGATTTCTCGCCACTTTTTGAATGGTCTTGACATGTCTATTTGGGAGATGAAAGTTACATCTATTCAGGAGTCCGTTGATATGTCTACTTTGACTTTGGATTCGCTTTACACAAAACTGAAAACACATGAGATGAATATTCTTTTTCGTAAAGTTGATTCTAAGTCGAGTGCTTTGATTTCTTCCTCAACTTCTTTGGATGTTGGTTCTTCTTCATCAAAGTCTTCCGCATTTGCTTTGTTTAATGCCGATGATCAACTCAAACAGTTCGAGGAGGAGGACTTGGTTTTGTTATCTAACTGACTTTCTCGAGCTGTGACTAATGTTAGGTACAGGAAAAGAGGTGGACCAAATCGTTGCTTTGAATGTGGTTCTACGGATCACTTTAGGTTGTCTACCTCAGGTATAAATAGAGGGGGAGCGTGAGGCTTCCCGGTATCGCTTTTGAGAGCAATTGAGTTGATAGTTGAGTTAGGGTTTCGAGTTTAGTCGAGATTTTTGTAAGGAGTGCTGTTGGTGCACTTTGTAAACATAGAGAAAATTTATAAAGTCGTCATCCACTTTAAGAGTTCTTCGATTTGTGTTTCACCGGGTTTCGGCGGTCTAACCGGCGACAGCGACAGGGAGCAGAGGCGATCTCAGGGCGGACGGACCGATCGATCTAACCGGTCAGACCGACGGCTTTCAGGCGGTCAGACCGGTGCAACACTTTCGGTTAGACCACGATCCGTCAAATTTGAGGATAACTTTTATTTCCGCTAAAAAATTCGGTTTTTAGGCATACCAACCATTCACCCCTCTCTGGTTGGCTTAGTTCTAGTGTTTCGATCCTACAAATATATCTTTTTTCATTGGTTTTACGTAAATATACATGCACAGGAGAAATTTGTAGAATTATACCACTGTCGCAGGGCGGTCCGGAGAGATCGCAAGAGTCGCTACGGTCTCGCAGAGCGAGGGTGCGAGACCGACTTCCCATCCATACTCATGTGATTAATAAATTAACTAGCATAATTAGAAATTAATTAATTAATATTATTTTAATTAGCATTATTAATAACCAATTAACATTAATTAGGATAATTAATCACTAATTAACTATTTTTCAAAGCGCTGTGGCTTTTTTGCATGCGAGACCGCATGGTCTCGGCTCAGACCGGCGTTGTGGTTGTGTGAGACCGTGCGGTGTCACGTTCCCACCCCGCGAGACCGCCCACATCGTCATTCTCACACAATGGTTCAGCGTGTCGTATCGATGTCGCACTCCCATATAGCGATGACAGTATATTTGTGTCAAAAGAATTACAACCCGAATATTTCTAAGAAAAAATGAACAGTACATTTTTAAATTTAATTCTAAGAAGGATAACTACGTACGTGGATTTAATGAAATCCGTTATAATGGATCCTATGCCTAGAACGATGTATAGATTTGTTCACTATTTCTGGACTAACATGAATGTTTCTCGGGACTGTCTAACAATTCTACAATCTACATATATATAGACAGACATATATACGCATATATTGATCGATTGGTTGGTGCACTAACAACCGCAGCAACCAGCATATATACGCGAGGCGACCTGCCCTCGGTTGGCCTAAGCTCAAAATTCACAACAGAGAACTCGTCATAAGGGGCGTGACGATGTCTCTAGTGGATTTTTGGAACAAATGGGGGATACAAATCCTTGTACTCCTCAGCCTCGCGCTGCAGGTCATCCTCCTCCTCCTGGCTGGTACTCGCCGGCGTAAAGTACTCACCAAAGATCATCCAGTGGATAGCTTACCAGCTGGCCGACTCGACGGCAATATACGCCCTTAGGAACCTCTCCTTCGGCAGCGTGGCAGTTGATGAGCACCGTCTGGCAGCATTTTGGGCACCATTCTTGTTGCTGCACCTCGGTGGCCCAGACAACATCACGGCCTATGCACTAGAGGACAACAAACTCTGGTTGCGCCACGCACTGAATCTTGTTTTCCAGGTAATCGGAGCTGTGTATGTGGTCTACAAACATATTATCGTTCGTAGGGAGGCCACAATCCTTAGAGTGGCCACTGGATTGATCTTCGCTGTGGGCTTGGTCACTACAAGATATGTGTGGCTTTTTAACGTATTTAATATGACACAGATTATAATATCACTATATCATCTAATTTATGACATTTTATTTCAAGCACGTCAACTTAATGACAATAAAAAATTGTGTGTCACAATAAATGTCATATAGTTAGTCTAATGTCATCCAATGACAATATTTACTATGTCATAAGACCTATTTATGTGTCACAAATTATTTATTATATTATTTTAAATATTTTTGTTCATGTAGACAAGCCTTACTGCCACAGTTTTTTTTTTCATTGGGCCAACCCGTGTGTCACAAATTATTTATTATATTATTTTAAATATTTTTGTTCATGTAGACAAGCCTTACTGCCACATCAGTTTTTTTTTCATTGGGCCAACCACTAAGCCACAGATAATGTTTTGTTAGATTTTGCATATTATTTTATATATCACGTTTATATCTTCTAAAGAAACTAATCTGGCAGGCCTCCAACCTTCCCACTTAGCCCACAGCGCACTCCTAGCGAGTCGAGAAGTCTATTTTGCCTCCCTCCTCTCAATTAATTTCAAAATATTAAAACTTTTAATCGAATTTTATCATACTAAATAAACTTATGTGAAAAAATTTTGAAAAACAAAGTTGTATAACTTATTTAAATCTACCAATTTTATTTTGGTTATTTCTCCATTTGAGTTTGATTGACCTATATAAAATTTGAATTTTAAAATATAAGAAATTCAAATATTTTTTTTGTGGTAAATGATTTCAAATGAAAAAAATTGTCAACAACAAAGTTGTATATCTTATCAAGATCTACAACTTTTGTTTTGGTCATTTTGCTATATGACTTTGTTTCAATAATTTGAATTTGAATTTCAAATTATGACAACTTCAAATAACATTTTCAAATACTAAATGATTTCAACTGAAAAAGTCATCAACAACAAAGTTGTATAACTCATGAATATCTATAACTTTTATTTTGGTCATATCTTTTATTTGGCAAAGTGATAGTAACATTGTTCATAAAATTTACAAATCTCTCTTATAGTTTATAAAACCATAGAAGAGATATGTAAATTTTGTGAACAATCCTACTGTCACTTTGTCGGATGAACAAATGACCAAAATAAAAATTGTAGATCCAGATGGATTATACAACTTTGTTGTTATGACTTTTTCAGTTGAAGTCGTTCACTAATAAAAAAATTCTATTTGAAGTTCTCATACTTTGAATTTCAAATTTCAAATAGTTCAAATAGAGTCATATGGAGAAATGACCAAAATAAAACTTTTTCGCCTCGATGAGTTCTACAACTTTGGTTTTGGTGACTTTTCCATTTGAAATCATTTATTAACCCCAATTTTTATTCGAAGTTGTCAAATTTTGAAAATTCAAAATTTGAATTGTTCAAATGAACTTATTTGTAAAAAGAACCAATACAATAGTCACAGTTCTCGATTAGTTCTACAATTTTGTTATTTATGATTTTTGCATTTGAAACAAAAGAATCAGCCTAAAATTACATTTAAAGTTCTCATAAATTGAAATTAAAAAAATACCATAAGATCATTCCTGTTTTGGCCCAAATGGCCCAACTATTTCTGACCGGCCATCTACGATCTAATGGTTCTGATCGCCGTGCCTAACCCTAGCCCCATATAAAACCCTCCTCTCCACCCCTCCTCTCTCTCTCTCTATCTCTCCACCCTCAGCCGCCACACTTCTCCCATCCATTCCCCTCTCCTCTCCTCTCCTCTCCGGCGGCGGGTATCGGCGATGAAAGCGTGCGGCGGCGTCCTCCTCCTCCATCGCCGCTCGTGGTGCCGGCTTACTCCTCCCTCACCGCTTACTGCGTCGCCTCCGTCTCCGCCGGCGCCAGGCTCGGGAGTGGTGGATCTGCGGCCGACAGCGCTCCCGGGCCTAGGGCGGCTAGATCGCGCGGCGGCAGTCCCCGGGCGGCTCGACGACGGAGCTCGCTGCCACGCCGTTTGTGCCGGCGGGCTCCTGCTTCGGGGTTTCTGGAGGCGCGTGGGGGTCCGTCCGCAGGTGTAGTCTGCATACTGGCTCAAGTTCTGGCGGAACATGATGCGCGTCACTCTCATCTACGAGGCGCACGCCGCGCGGATGCTGGACCGCGGGACCCCATCAACGCCAACCTCTACGTTAAGGAGCTCATGCGCAAGAAGCTTCGGGAACTCAGGCACCGTTGCCAGGAGGGTTCGCTCGGGGACAACGTCTTCTGCGTGCGAGCCGACCTGCTCAGGAATCTCGGCAACACGTGCAACTCCAAGATCCACAACCGGTGGGGGAGGGGGGGCTGCAGGTTCTGACTAATCTTAACCTGTATTATGCCAGCATGTTTTTGTTTCAGAATGCAGGCAGATTTAATACCCAGATTTTTGAAAGAAGGCCCAAACTTGCTAAACAGAGTCATTATACCAGCAATTTTGATGCAATAAGATGTTGTTAGGATTTAGGGCAACTTATTCTTAGAACTTTAGCAATATTTCCTACCAAATTGGTGAGCGGTGAGACTAAACACCCTTTCATGGTTTCTATTGTTCCCTCGCTGGGCTTATGATTCTTTTGTTGATTTGACTAGGATTTAAAAGATGATCAGCTGCTTGTAGGAATTAAGCTTCGAGTTGACAAGCCCATTGAAAAAAGGAAAATTAACACATGGCCTGTGTTATGATTGTTTTTTTTCCTTTCTGACAGGAGGAATGGATACATGCATCAGTCAAGGAAGGAGGAGTATGAACAAGAGAGCAAGACATGCAGATAGGAAGACATCATTCGGCGAACCAACCAAACTGTGTGAGTAGTTAGATGATTTTTAAGCATGCATATGTATTCTAGACAAGTTGTTAGGTCTAATGGTGCTGAGCATCTGTTAGGTTAGGTGATGGAGTGCTGATGTATTTGATAACTGTAGGCAAGTAAGTTGCTTTAATTTGAAATATCGAGGGAGTATATGCTATGGTCTATCGGATAATTTATTGATGTCTAAATTATCGTTTCTTAGGCCAACTGATACTATGATAAGGAAAAAAAGAAGCAAAAACACATTGTTCATGAGTAATTTTGTAAGTAGGAGTTTTGTTTTGGTGGTGCGCTTTCGATATATCATATTAGGTTACTACCGGGGCTTTGAATTTCATGTTGTGATTGTTCCTTCCTTACTCTTTACTTACTTCCCCTATCATAAAAAGAACCAAATCCATGTCCAGATTCAAACTCATGATTGGGATTTTTTTTTGGACAAAGAGAGTACGTGTCAATGGGTGATGGGATGGTTAGCCCATAACCTTGAGGTTGTGTGTAAAACCATTTGTAAAAGAAGGTGAAAAGCCTCCTTAGGGATGTTGCCGTCGGGCGCGTTGCCATGCGGCAGATGAACGGGCTGAAGCAGCAATACATATGAACATAAGGTGACACTGAACTTGCGACCATTGTGCTTGTGGGATGTTATTTTGTTGTTGTTGTTGTGCTTCTGGTCGTTGTGCTGTTGCTGTTGTGCTTTTGGCCATTGCGCTGCTGCTGCTGTGATGCTATTGCAGATGTGCTGCTGTTGCTCTCGCTGTAGCAGGAAGATGAAATTTGAGACTTTGGATATGTATTGAATTGGTGGATGGATGTAATGATATTGCATTTTAAGACTTGTGGAATGTGAAATGCATGTGATATTGCAATCATTTGTGGAATGTTAATTCATTTGAATTTGATTTTATATGTGCTGAAATATTGTATTTGGGCTGAATTGTATGGGCTGAAAAAATTTCAGTTGAGTTTTGTGGGCTGAAAAAATTATATGGGCTAAACTGTGGGGGCTAAAAAAATCATATGGGCTGAATTGTGCGGGTTGGAAAAATCATATGGGCCGAATTGATGTGGGCTGAAAATTTGTATAGGCTGCACTCAAACGAACAAGCAAAAAATATGTTCGGCCAGCTAGCAACAACCTTAGAAAAAATATATTTGTGGCTCATGAGCTACATGGGCTTTAGCAGGCCGAATCTGATTCTGTGACGTTTTTTTTTGAACCATGTCAGCTGCCACGTGGCAAGCCCTAGGATTTTGTGACAATAAATCAATGTCATATGCTTGTGACAATGAATGTTCAAACGTCACATGATGAATTTATGACGGTGGCTTTTTGACGTTTGAAATTACGTCATCTGTTTGTCACAAATCTTAATTTTTGACATAATTTTCATATATTATGACATAATAAAATGTAAAAAAAACCACATACCTCTTGTAGTGGGTCCAGTATTGTGAGAGGACATGGGCGCTCAATCGCAGCAAATTTAGTAGCATCGGGAGCTCTCTCGAGGAGTTACCGGGTAACCAACTCCATTGGTACTAAGGGTACCTGCACAATGAGGATCGTAACAACACTAATGATGAATTCCTTCTGCAGCGTGCTCACTCCCTGTTTCACATATGTAAGCGTGGGATAGTAGACTCCGTGATCCCAGAGGATACTGAGAAGGCTGAGGCGGAAACCACCATGAGAAGGCTGAGGCGGAAACCACCAAGGAAATAATCAATAATCTCAGTAAAAAGCCCCAGCGGATGTATAAGGTAATGGAGATGGAACTGTCCCTGATGTACGATATTCTCTATACCAAGGCAGCTGTAGTCCACACTTGGATTGGCTACTGCATCCGAGCCTTGTCACCCATTGCTATCGCCACCTCGTTTCTGCTGTTCTATTTCAGCGGCAGTGAGGCCAAGGATGGCCAGAATGGAGTCGACACCGCCGTTACCTATGTCCTGTTAGGTGGCGCCTTCTTGATGGAAACAACGTCCCTCCTCAGCGCTCTGGGGTCAAGCTGGACTCTTTCCTTCTTGTGCGCCAGGAGGTGGAGTTGGCTTCAACATATCGCTCTATGCGTTGGAAGATGGCACCAGCTCCGACGGGCGGTCCTGGCTGTTCGCAAGCGCGTCGCAGCCTTGACGGGAGGCCTTCTCGGTGGATCAAGAAACTGGTCGGGCACCATAGGATAGTTCAATTTGCTCTACTTCCGTACCACACAGCTGAACCCAACCAACAAGCAACTCGGTAGGCTCTTTAAGAAGCTGGGGTATGGCGACAAGGGGGACACCGGTTGTTATTCGTGGGACATCACAATTCCCGAGCTGGTGAAGGACACAGCATTGAGAATGGTCTCCGATTTTGATCTCAACACCATGGGCTTGCTCAGGTATAATTGGGATGAACTGGCATGGAAAAGTATCCTGAACTGAAGAAACGTGTTGAAGAAAATAAAGAACTGAAGGAACTGTGGGGTGTCGACTTCCACGAGAGCATCATCATCTGGGGGTGTCGACTTCCACGAGAGCATCATCATCTGGCACATTGCCACAGACCTCATCCTCGCTATGAGAGAAAAGAAGTCCAGCGAAGACGATGCAGAAGAAGTCCAGCGTGTCGGCTTGATCAGGGCACTGTCCAACTATTTGATGTTCTCCTTGTGGCTCACCCAGACATGCTTGCCGGCCTTCCCCAAAAATGGTTGTACCAGCGGACCTGTGAGAACCTTGATAAAAAATGCAAAGAGCATCGTGATGAACTCATTTCTTCTGGTGGAAAGGCTAATAATGTGATCTTTATGGTGCTCATGAAGCTGTTCGGTGGCCATAATAATAGCTCAACATCTATTGGGCTCAGGCAGACGAACGCACTCGCTAAAATCCTTTACAAGAGCCTGCCCAGCAATTTTGACACCGCAATTCCTCGCCTTACTTATGCAGGGTTGGTTGCCAGGGAAATAATAAACTGGAAAGGTGGAGATAATCAATCGATGGAGCCAGATACAGTGACCGTGCTGCTTAACCTGTGGACAGCTTTTCTCCTCTATGCTGCCAACAGGTGTAACAGGGAGTCTCATGCCAAGAAGCTCAACACTGGTGGTGAGTTTATTACTATTGTGTGGCTAATGGTTGAACACATATACAAAACAAAAACAAAAGGAAAAAAAGTTGTACCTGTCGGGCAATGATAATATCTATTGTTAGTGTTATATATTCTCTCTATATTCAATCTTAAAGGATATTACTGTAACATTCCCAAAACGTGTAAACGTCAAACCATCTGTTCTCAGCAATATAATTGTTCCCCTTTGCGTGCTAATTTTTTTTTTGTTATGTTGCTGGATTTTCTTGCATGGCATATATAGTTGCATCTGACGTGCATTATAAAATTGGCCTTAGAATAATTCATACAACTTATATGTGGATCAAAAAATTCGACATCTATGAACACGTGGCACGTGGCAGATTCATTAAACACTCCTAAACGCTCTCAAGGTGCCATGTGGCACTCTACGAACACTCCTATGCCACCACGTGGCACTATCTAATCTCACCATCGATTTTTATTTAATTGGTGGACATGTAATTTTAGACCATTAGTTTATATCTATATCTATATTTGATTTTCATTTATATTTGATTTTTATTTAAATTGGTGGACCCATTAGTTTACAATAATTAGGTGTATATATATATACCTTCCCAGTATAAAAAGGAAAATACGTACCATCAGCAAATAAAAATCATAAGTATGTCGGCAAACAAAAATCGTAAATATGTACAGTACGTATATTTCGGAAAAAAAAATAAAGCTTACGTTCTGTCCGTTCGCTGGAAGAAAAAGAAAAATCGGAAGGACAAAAATGGCTGTGTGATAAGTAAAAAAAACATACATAGTATAATCGGAAGAAAAATATAAAACATAATTTTATATATAGCAAAAAAAAAAACCAAATGTACGTATTACCATTGATCTATTTATCTATTACTCCCTCCGTATTTTAATGTATGACGCCGTTGATTTTTCAGAACGTTTGACCATTCGTTTTATTCAAAATTTTTATGCAAATATGAAAATATTTATGTCATGCTTAAAGAACATTTGATGATGAATCAAGTCACAATAAAATAAATGATAATTATATTAATTTTTTGAATAAGACGAATGGTCAAACATGGGACAAAAAGTTAACGGCGTCATACATTAAAATATGGAGGTAGTATATACTAAAAGTCTATTAAGCATCCTACAAACGTACACTCCCAAACCGTCACGTGGCACCCTATAAATATTCTCAAGTCACCACGTGGCACCCTAATAAAATAGAGAAATCTAACCGTCGATTATCATTTAAATCGGTAGACCTATTATTCTAGATTGTTAGATCTATATTAGGAAACCAAAACCTCCCACGTCTCCATACTGTGCACCACGCAAGTACTGATCAATTTGAAGGCTTCTAGTTCCTTTATGTTTTTTTTTATCCCTATCACGATTAAAAATAACATTATATTTATGGAAAATGATCTCAAAAATAGGTGTTAAAGTTCATTAAATATCTTATAAATATTTCCAAATCGTTCGATGAGATTCTTAAATTAGAGAAACATCTCTCCATTGGTTTCCACTTAAATCGACTTACACATTACTTTACATCGATATTGTATCTAGTTTTTTTAATACAAAAACATTGTAAACCATCTTCCCTTACTCTCCATCCCTATGGGCGTTTTGCTAAGCTGCTACTTGTCTCATTTGAATTAGAAAAAATCCTAATAAATCTGTGAAAAAAATATAACATCCAACCATCGGTTTTTTACTTAAATATCAACACATTATTTTAAGTCATCAGATCAATCAATTTTTTTTCTAAAAAAAAGAAACATCCCAACCGTCCATCCCCGTTCCCGTGCGGTGTGTTGCGTTATTTTTCTCTGTTTTTTTTCTATCTCTATGATAATTAAAATTAAAATTATTTTTATGGGCAAAGAAAAGACCACAAACAAATCTCGACCTAGTAGGTCTAGCCAGCTATTATTTTTATAAGTAAAAACAATAACTTAATGCCCATATTGACTATATTTAAGTGCTAAGAAAAAAATTACATTATGGACCCCATCCATTGAAGCATCTACTCAAATAAGGTAAAATTTGCTACAGAACATAAAAAAAAGTATAATTAGCTAAGAGACACTGCAATAACATATATCTGATATGGGACACCATAAAAAACTGGTAATTAGCTGTTGGATACCCGTGGCATTACTTTGTTATATCCAAATGAAATGAAGAGAGAAACAACCGCGAAAGTATGATTTTGCTCCTTCCTTCCATGTGGGTATGGATAGTTGAGGGTATGGCAGCGTGCCGTGGCACGGCTGCGAGACTGACAACAATAGCCTGCGCTCTGTGGCGCCTTGCTCGACATGAATCAGGAGGTGGTCCATGTTGTGCTCACCCTGAGCGCGGTGTGTGGCAGAGCATCGGTGCCTGCATGGTCCTCGCGCTACAGCGGCGACGAGTGTGGGAACGACAGCGAGCCACAAGCCCAGGCGCACGGGCCCTCCTCGAAACCCCCCGCCCCCTCTAGAGAGCCACCTCACCGGTGATGGGTCCGGTTGCAGCGTCAAAGTTGTATGTGAGCCAGACTTGTAGGCAGGCGAAAAGTCATATTTTTCTTATTGTTTCTCTCTTCATTTCCATTGGATATTATAAAATAATAACGCAGGCCTCCAATAGCCAATTACCAGTTTTTCGGTGTCCCACAGCAGATATGCGTTCTTGCGGTGTCCCCCGGCAAATTACACGTTTTATAATGTCCCGTAGCACATTTTACCCTAAATAAAAGAAATACTAAAATTGCTCACTAAAAATCAAAATATCCCAGCTTAATTTCTTTTCAAACTACTAGACCCAGTACTTATATCCCGTTAGACATCTATCGACTTTCTATCAACTTTTGTTGTCTCAGCTTGTATATAGGAGCTATTTACCCATACATTTTGATATTGATGCTTTTATCAATAAATGATCATTTTTGGAGATAAATAAATAATCTTAAGATGATTATAGAATCTAAATTATATATATATAACATGGCTAGTTGAATAACATACTGATCGTGCTAACCACGTTGGTTGCACCAAGGAATCTTAAGAGTGAAATAGCCATGATGTGGCCCCAGCAATATATAAGCCAATTCCAGAGCGGAATTAAAAAACTATATCCACTTTTTTGGTAAAACTTGTACAGTACATCATGAATTTGTGTCATATAGCATAGAAAGTCTAGAAACGTGTAATTATTACACGACGCTCCAGTATAGTGGTAATTTGCTAAGAAAATACTTTGACATCTATTTTAAATTTTCTTACTTAATTGAAGCGAGATAATTTATAATTTATGCCTTTACCCATGCCAGGTTGTAGGATCAACCGACTTATATTTTCATCCCGAATTACAGAGATCAAAGCATTTCAAAGATGCTTCATAAAGTGGATTTATCCAAAAAAATGAAGATAAAAAGAAATGAGAATTGAGCAAAATTTATCTAATTTAAAATTTATTTTTGTTGGGTTTATTACCCATTGTAAATAGAAATATTCAAACATTTTAGCAGGACTAATGAAATGGATATGTTTAAAATTTCAAACAGAATCTAAAAAAATTTGGACATTCATATGACACACATATGTTGTTTCGACACAAAATTTTCTCATGAATTAGAAACAGCACGGTTTAAAGTAATTTTAGTTCACAATTTATATTTTACAAGTAACCAGCGTTCAAAGCAAATTAAATAAGTTCAATTTTAGTTTATGATAAAGTGAAAGAATATTTTTGATAGAAAACCATCCACACATGGACATTCGTAATAAAATTTTACGCACGTACCCACGCATATGCGCAGGCTACCTTCCTAGTTCTAAAAAAACTAAATTTTTGCCAATTTTGTCAACTCATTTGATACGTCGATTGAATCGGTCAAAGTTGATAAAACAGGAATTAAACCATAAATTTTAACCCTCTTCACAATTTTTCCACATTCAAACCACAGCTAATCTGTCTACCAAACCTCTAGCATATGTTGCATACACTAGTTACTCTGCTCGCAGTATTAAACTCAGAATTTTTGGGCAAGCTAGCTAGCCGTGTGCCCGTGCATGGCACTTAAACTATCTGTTTTTAACTCAGTATACTACCGCTTTGTCCATCTCCGGTTGCCAGTGAAAGAGGTCCCGCACCGCCACCTTGATCTCCTCCTGTGACTCCACTTGACCTGGATCAACTTGTTATGCGCATGAAGTTGTTGCTCCTCCTCGTCTGTCATGATCTGTGCTCCTGAATGATAGCGTGGCTTGCCAGAAAACCTCTAGATCGATTGCTCTGATACACGATGTTATGTTTCTTGATACAAAGAAGACAAGGGAAATGCGAACAGAGAAACGACTTGCATTGGAAGAAGAAGCAGTTGGAAGCGGTACAAAAATTGGGATTGGGGAGATAGAGCCGTGTTTAGCTTGTACAAGTTCAGAGAGAACTCCCAGTCGGTTGCCTGGTAGCAGAAGAAAAAAAAAACGTCCCTTTTTCTATTCTGCAGTCACCTGCAAAATTCGTAATTGGTCGGTCGATTTCTCATTTCTTTGTCTATCCGACTCGCTTCATGATACGTGCATGCTATGCTTTTAGGTTAGTTTATTGTATCTTTGGTAATGTGCTAGGGAAGGCGGGAGGCGTGCAGGCTGCGACGGCGCTGGATGGGTTGGTTCCTTGAGTGGAAGAGGCAGATGCGCGGAGATCCGCCGGCGGAGATGCCTGACAAGGGGGAGGACGAATGAGCACCAGGAAAGGAGGCCCAGCTGGCCTCCAATTTCTCCCTCTCATCATCTATGTATCTATCTATACCTCTATACCTATACTAATCGGGCACTTTCTACGAGCTCCCACATTAATTAAAAAGATCTAGCCGTTAATTAGTAGATTGCAATATCACATCCGTACGTAGATTTTAATCCAATTCCACCTAATATTGTGGGCCACCTTTCAAAAACCATCTAACGTGTGTTGCGTTCACCGTATTTTCACCTCCAGCCGATCCTATCTCCAAATTCCCTAGCGAAAAAACAGATGATCCTGTCGTTCTTCATGGTGTGCCCTAGGCCCTTACTCCCTAGCCCCATCAAGAGATGCATGTTCATGCTGCTGGTTATACGGCAATGATTTCACTGATAGGTACTGCTGGTCCTCATCTTTTTGCTGTAATTATCTGGTCTACAAATCGATCTAATCCTGTAATTATCTGCTCTGTTTACATGTTCTTTATACTTCCGTAATTTCCTTCAAATCAATCAAATGTGGTACGGTAATGCTCTGCACATCAAGGTGCAACCCAATGCAGTATTGTATCGATAGTTTTGTACTCCCTCCGTTCCACAATATAAGTCATTCTAGCATTTTTCACATTCATATTGATATTAATGAATCTAAATAGATATATATGTCTAGATTCATTAACACCAATATAAATGTGGGAAATGCTAGAATGACTTACATTGTGAAACGGAGGGAGTAGATCAGATGCTGTAATACAAATCTCTAACCAACCTTCCGTCAGAATCTACAGACATCAGCCATGGCCGAGGCGCTAATCAAACAATGTTGTTGTTGTCTTTTCACGTTGACTCTGCCCGATTCTGCAGGGCTGGAATGCGAAACAACAAAGTTAGTTCGTCTGTTGTTTAAATTCAAGTTTTGTATAGTTTTGCGCTAAAATAACCAGGTTATTTCGGTGCTTCTTTCTCCAGGTTAAAGCAGGCAAATCAAAAGAAATATTCAGACTCTTAATCGATCAAGAAATTTATAAGCCATCTACTTCGTTTTAGAGCATATATGGATTAGTCAGAGTATATAAATCGATAGAATTCTTACCTGAATATTGTAGATGAGGGGACCAAAGTGCCACTTTCCAAGCACAAGTGAAATTAATATAGATGAGTACTGCCGTTGTTTCAGAGTATTATGGCTCTTTCCTGTTGTTTCCGAATATTTATGTTGATCCTCAATTCATTATAGTGAAATTAATATAGATGATAGGTAAAATTAATATTGAGGAAACAACGGCAGTAATTTATTACACAGGTTTTATGAAACAAGGTGATGTTGCAGTAGATTGATGCTTTCTGTAGTCAGATAGATCGATGCTAAACTCCATTACCCCGTGCTTTTTTTTTTCTCTCAATCAAGATTTGGTTTGAACTCCTTAATCCATGGTTTTTTTTTTTGACCTATTTCTCACCTGAACTAGATCGAGCAGGACTGATCAACTATGCCATCATTTGATCCGATGAATTTCTGGTGTTGAGATGTTGATCCAAAAATCTACAAGTTCGCTTGCATCTAGGAAGATTCGTTGTGTTAGTTGCATACACAATCAACTCAGGTATTTCTATTTTGATTGAAATAATAAATTATGTTCCTGATCTTTTGCCTGTTGAATGAGTCATTTTTAACACAAGTATTCAGGTAGTCAAATCTTGGTCGAAAGCAAAAATGAGACAAGGTACACGAATGCGGCCGGTAGCATGAATGCAGCAACTGGTGAGCTTCGTTTTGCTATTTTCTGGATGAAAAAAATATTTGAACTTATATTTTCCAATTCAGTTCTCTTTACATGCTTGCCATATGACAGTATGTAAATATTAGGTATTAAGATGTTGATCTACAAATCAACAAGTTTGCTTTCATTAATTTCACTTGTGCTTGGAAAGTTGCACTTTGGTCCCCTCATCTACAATATTCAGGTAAGTATTCTATCAATTTATATACTCTGATAAATCCGTATATGCTCTAAAACGTATGACATCATCTAAGTGAAATATTGATCGATATGGCTTTCACCTAACTACTCTTGATTTGTATACTCGAGCTAATCCCGGTGTAGTGTTTGGTGTCTAATTAAGGATATTTAAATTGTTGGATTTTGATCCTTTATGTTATATTTTAAGTTAAATTACAGGTTCTGTACCATCTTACAACACTAATTTGCTGCATTGTTTGTCCAAATTGAGTTGAACAACATATGTTTTAATTTATATTCGTTGTTTCAATATAGTTTAGCAATCAAATTTGAAATTCTTTCTGTAATCAAAACTGAGTGATAAGCTTGATTAAAATGTGATTATTACTAATGTTAACAATACTATATGAAAACAATTTTGTGTTAAAGGAAACATACCATTAAATATACAATGGGGTTATTTCATTTTGGTAAACTTAATTTTTTTTGTTTTTCAAAAATTCAGTAATCCTAAATTCGTAACTGATAGGAACTAATAAACATGAACTTTGTATCCATAGTGGCTATCCATTATGTAATTAATTTAATACTGAAATTAATAATTAGCAGGTTACAAAAATAAAATTTGGAATCAAGAAATTATAAAGAAATACCACATATTCAGCATGGGAAAAAATATTTATGAAAGGTATTAACAAATTTACGCCGTGCGTTGCACGGGTTGGTGGCTAGTCTAGCTAGTGATGTATAAAATGAGTATTTTAGTTAACTAATCTAACCTTAGTTCATAGGCTTAAGGTCTTTATTATCATGGTTCATATTTTATAAACTAGGGGAGCTCTAGTCCATGCTAGCAATTTATTATATCAACCTAGAAATTATTATATAAGATAAGTGCCTTAAGTTTTGGTGGATGAGGATGGAACTATGCATTCACTGGTCTAACAAGTTTTATTTGGGTTTCATTATAGCTAGAGCGTATTTCTATATACATTTATATATATACATATTGCTCAATCGATACTATGTGATTAGCACCTATCCTATAAATTTAAACTTTAGAGCTATAACCTGTACAGAAGGTTCCATATTTTATTTTACTATGTTGAAGCCCACTGTTTGCTGGTTCTATAGATATTTGGTTCACTTCATTTAGACTAAAGATGAATTTTCTACAAATTTTACAATTTAAGGTTGCTCTATGATGGTTATTACTTACATAAGTATTTAGAGGCTTTTATCATACAGTAAGTATATAATTTTATTTTATAACTTGGAAGTATATGTTTTGGTGATTCTACAGAACTTGGGTTTACTCAAAAAGGATCTAAGATGAATTTTATATGAACTTCTAAAATTCAGCTCATCTAAAACTAGTCATTTAAAGGTAATAGTTTTAGAGGCATTTGATGTATAGTATGTATACTATTTCATTTTGCTTTATAGGAGAACATAAGTTGGTGGATCTGTAGAAACTGAGTTTGCTCCAAAATGAGTTGAGATGTACTTTATATGCATTTTATAAGTTTGTGTATGCTTTATGTATGATTTATCTTAGACCCATTTTAGAGACAAGGTCTGTGCTGAGGGTGCCAAGCTTAATGTTACCACATTAAAGTTCATAGTTTTGTGAACCTACAGAAATTTGAATCATCTCAAAATAAGTTATATTTGATTTTATATGGATTTTACAAGTTTAGGTGTTTTGCTGTTAAAAAGTAAAGGCTTTTAGTATTATCTTTTACATTTTCAGATTTTAAACTCATGGGGTCCACCTGTCGGTCTCAGGCCAATATGCGAAAAGGCCCCTAGGATTTCAGGAAATCAAACCGCAGTCCTATGACTGTTCTGTGTGTCTTGAGCTTTTGCAGAAAGGACCCTATATTAATCTAAATTCTCGTGAGGAGGTCCCTCGTTCGAGCTGAAGCAGATCAAGCCATGGCTGAGCTCGATCTCAAGCTTGCCAGCGGCAAACGGTGGCTCGTTTGAGGGTGCGACCAAAAGACAAAATGAAGATCATGCTATTCCGATTCCATTCCTCTACTTTTCTCGGTCAGTGGACATCGGAGTGACGCCGGCGGCGAGTCCGAGCGGCGGCTGTGCTTAGGCTGCTACTGCATGTTGAGTTGGTGCTCGATTCTAAGTGAATGAAATGCATGAATGCAATCCTATGGGCTCAAGGGTGCTCACCGAACCTTGAACGAGGCGCGGGAAAGTCTGGACAGCGGCAGCGGTGAAGAAGATGGTCCGGCGATGGTGTAGAGCTCCGGGAAGACGGCAACGGCTCGATCCACTCATCGAATTGACATGCATGTGTTTTCATGGGGTTAGTGAGGTCCCAGGGATGGTGTATACGCGAAGAATCGGACAATGGCTCACCGGAGGAGGCGGAATCGACAATGGCGACGGCGACCGGAGGTGAAGAAGACGGTAGCCGATCTCCGCACTTGCTGCGCCATTGCCTAGGATTTTTGAGGGTTTTTGAGGAAGACTTCAAGGAGAAGACGTTGGCGCGACGGCTCGGCTTGGTTTGGTCTACAGTGGTCGGAACGACGACGATGTCGGCTGCGGCGGCGCTTGGAGCGCGCTCCGGAGTGCCGGGGGCACGACGGCGTTCCCGTCGATCCGCTGCACGATAGAGGATGAAATTAAAAGGATAAATCCTCGGCATGGTGAGGAGAGTAGAGTACAATAGTCGTCTTCTTCGCGGCCGGCGGCAAGGATGAGGGCGACGGAGAAGTTGAGAGCCTCCTCCCTCGGTTTCTTCGGCTTAGAGGTGGAGAATGATGTGTGGAGATGCAGCTGGGAGGAGGAGAAGGCTAGAATAGGAGTTTGATGGCGTCGACACGTTGTGGCTACGCGTCGTACACAGCCGGCACCAATCTCTCTCTCTCGGCTGTCTCTGGTCGGCTGGAAGATTTGCACAGGGTGAGGACGAGCCAGAGTGGCTGCCAAGTGGGTCCAGGTCGTGGCAAACTAAGCTAGGGTGAGAGGGTTGGGCAGAAACGTGGGTGAAGAAAACGTTTGAATGATTTTCAGGATTATTTCTCTCTCCCACTTTAGTAATTCAATTATTTAATTTGTGGGTAGAATAATTTAGTGTGGATTTTTCTGAAGGTATATGAAGATACCTAGATTCCGTATTCTTTAGTTGCACTCAAAAATTATGGATAGATTACTCACAGAAATTAGAGGAATATGGGTTCTTTGGAAAATATTTCGAATTTTTAGGAGACCTAAACAGAGAAGATAAATTCTGGAAAAATTATTTTTATTCATGATAAATTACCTAGTATTTTAATAAATTATTTTACTTATACACTTTTATGCAGTTAAATGCAATTTTAGACAAAGTATGGTTTTAGCCGATTAAGAACTACAGGTAATCTAGTTTTTATTAGTTTGACTGATTTATTTGAGGTACCAAATTTAGTTATTAAATTATACCAAAATTACAGTGAGTTGTATGTGTTGAGTAGAGCCTACATGAATTTTCTCATGATTTTATCTTGCACGAATTATTTTAGATAATTCGCAAGACTTATGTCTTATATGTGTTTCCCTTTCCTAAATGCATGTAAATGTTTATAAAAGTTATATTTGGACTCTTATTAACCTGAGGTGATATTGATATGTTAGAATTACAATTTACCTTACACATGTCATAAGCTCCTTACCTATTTATGCATAAATTTACTTTAGCATTAAATTAAGAGAATGCTTATAGAGATGATTAAGATAGAATATACCCTATATGATATAATTTATTTGTTCACTTTCATGTTCATGACATGTCTTCAGATGGATGTCCAAATTAGTTTTGTGAGGCTTGACATTAGCCATGTTGATATATTTCAAGGTGTATGGTTTCTATTTTTGTGAAATCATTATCATGATTAATATTTGTGATGAACAATTGGCTATGCAAATGATTTAGTTAAAGAATTGGTTTGAGAGTTTGTGTGAATGTTGGTGTGAGTACGTGTGACTAATGTGGGTCAGGTTGTGATATCTGTGTCCAGAAACGGTTGTTTTGTCTGATTGTGTGCAGGTGACTTGAGATCAGCCTTGGTCAATGGTGAGGACCGGGACTATGTTCAGGGAGGAACAGAGGTCTATTGCGGTCGGGATACCACGTGAGAAGGTGACTAGAGTCTGGATTCTTGAAGGTCAACTTCGGTCAACGGTGGGGATCGGGACGAGACTCAGGGAGGAGTTGAGGTCCAGACGGTCAAGGATACCGGGTGACGAAGTTGGATACGAAATGGCATACGGTGGATGGACACCGTGTGGGAGAGATCTTCGCAACGGGCTTCACGAGGTGTGCGTGCAAGCGTCGGTGTTCGCGAAGGGAATTGGAAGAGGTTTATGTATGGTGCTACAGTACGGTGGTGTACTGTAGCGTGCATATGTGTATGCGTGCTTGTGTACAGCATGCATATATGTGTGGTATACGTGCAGGTATGCATGCATGTACGGTGCTGTACATGTATGTGTGTGATCGATACATGCATGTGAAGCATGTATGTGTGCATGATTGGTTGGCCGAGCAGCAGGAGAGCGGCTCGGTGGCTGTGGCTTGTTGGAGCCGGCCCAGGCCGTGCGGCGCGAGGAGACCGAGTGCGAGCTGGCGAAGGATCGGTAAAGGAATCCGATCCGGAGCAGGATTTTCCATGGCCGGTGCGGCTGTGGTTTCGGAGAAAAAGGAAATTGAGAGATTGAGTCCTACTGTGAATAGGAGTCCTACGTCTACTTTGATTAGGAGGGTTTTTCATGTATAAATAGAGGGGGAGCGTGAGGATTCCTGGTATCGCTTTTCGGTATCGCTTTTCAGAGCGTGGAGTTGATAGTTTAGTTAGGGTTTCGAGTTTAGTCGAGATTTTTGTAAGGAGTGCTGTTGTTGCACTTTGTAAACACAGAGATAAGCAATAAAGTTGTCATCTACTTTGAGAGTTCTTCGATTTGTGTTTCATCGGGTTCGGCGGTCTACCAGTGACATACCAACGGTTCAACAGGCGACAAGACAGCGGTTCGACCGGCGGCGTGCAAGCGGTTCGACTGGCGGCGTGCGAGCGGTCCGACCGGCGGCGGCGACAGGATTACGTCGAGATTTCCATCGATTTGAGGGTAACTTTTATTTCCGTTAAAGGTTTTTGGGTTTTTTGTTTTCCCTACCATTCACCCCCCTCTTGTAGGCTTGGTTTCTTGTGTTCGATCCTAAAAGTGGTATCAGAGCCTTGTTTTCTTCTTTGGATTTTAACCGATCTAGAGTTTTTGCCATGGCTACTCCCGCTAGGTTTTCAACTAAGCCTCATGTTTTCGATGGAACGGATTTTTCTCATTGGTATAGTAGGATGCAATCTTACATTATGGCTGAAGATTATGATATTTGGAGAAAAGTTTCTCATGCTTATGTGATTCCTGAAACTATTAATACTGCTGCTGAAAAAACTGCTTTTGAACAAAATTGCAAAGCTCGCAAAATTCTTTTGAGTGGTATTTCTCGTTCTGATTATGATCATGTTGCTCATCTTCAAACTGCTCATGAGATTTGGATTGCTTTGAGTAATTTTCATCAGGGAACAAATAACATTAAAGAACTTCATCGTGATCTTTTCAAAATATATTAAATTTGAGATGAAACCTGAAGAAGCTTTGGATGATTATCTTTCTCGGTTTAATAAAATTTTTAGTGATCTTAGATCTGTTGATTCTTCTTATGATGCAAATTATCCACAATCTGAGATTTCTCGTCACTTTTTGAATGGTCTCGATATGTCTATTTGGGAGATGAAAGTTACATCTATTCAGGAGTCTGTGAACATGTCTTCTTTGACTTTGGATTCGCTTTACACAAAACTGAAAACTCATGAGATGAATATTCTTTCTCGTAAAGGTGATTCTAAGTCTAGTGCTTTGGTTTCGTCTTCAACTTTTTTGGATGTTGGTGCTTCTTCATCGAAGCCTTCTGTTCTTGCTTTATTTAATGCCATATCCGATGATCAACTCGAACAGTTCGAGGAGGAGGATTTGGTTTTGCTATCTAACAGATTTTCTCGAGCTATGAAAAATGTTAGGAACAGGAAAAGAGGAGAACTGAATCGTTGTTTTGAGTGTGGAGCACTTGATCATCTTCGTTCGCATTGTCCTAAGCTTGGGAGAGGAAAGAAGGAAGATGATGGAAGAGTCAAAGAGGATGACGTGAACAAGAAGAAGAACATGAAGGAGAAGGAGAAGAAGAAGCATTGTATGCAGTGGTTAGTTCAGGAACTCATAAAAGTTATTGATGGATCTGAAGATGAAGATGAGGGCAAAGGTAAGCAAGTTGTTGATCTAGCTTTTATTGCTCGTAATGCAAGTTCTGATGTTGATGAATCTGATGATGATAATGAAGAAAAGCTTAGTTATGATCAATTAGAATATGCTGCTTATAAGTTTGCTAAGAAACTTCAAACATGTTCTATTGAGCTTGATGAGAAGGATCACACTATTGATATTCTAAATGCTGAAATTGCTAGATTAAAATCTTTGATTCATAATGATGATAATTGTCAATCTTGTGAAGTTTTATTTTCTGAAATTAATGCTTTGCGAGATGTCAATTCTGTTAATTGCAAGAAATTGGAATTTGAGATTGAAAAATCTAAAAAGTTGGAGTCTTCTTTTGCTCTTGGATTTGCTTTACATGCTCGTGTTGTTGATGAGTTGATTTTGACAAAGAATGTTTTGAAAAAATACAAAGTTGCTTTTTGTGCAAGTTCTTTAGTCAATGCTTCATGTGTAAATAAGGCAACACAAAACAATGGTGTTTTGATTTCTCAAGATTGTTCAAAGTGTGTTTTGAATGAGTTGAAGTTGAAAGATGCTTTAGAGCGTGTTAAACACATGGAAGAAATTGTTAAACAAGATGAGGTGTTTTCTTGTTCAACTTGTAGAAAATAAAAAGATCTTTTGGATGCTTGCAAAAATTGTGCTATTCTTACTCAGGAGGTTTCTTATTTGAAAAGTTCTTTGCAAAGATTTTCCGATGGTAAAAAGACTCTCAACATGATTCTTGATCAATCTAAAATTAGCACACACAATCGTGGTTTAGGTTTTGATTCTTATGCTCATCATACTAGACATCCTCCTACTGTTTTGGGTGCTTCTAGGAGAGGTGAAATTTTGATTGAAACTGAGCCTAAGAACACTGTGTTTAAATCTGTTGGCATCATGTCTTCTTTGAATGCATCTTCTTCGAAATCAAATGGTGTGAATGCAAAACCTTCTGTTGATGCAAAACCATCAATTTCAAAATCATCTACTTCACAAACTTGTCGTGAGAAGTATACTTGCTCTTTTTGTGAAAAAGATGGACATTTGGTTGGTTTTTGTTTTTGACTTGCCCGCAAACAGAAAAAGGAAAGAGAAATTGCTTTTGCGAAACAACGGTGGCAAAAATCGGGTTTTTGTTCAAGGAGCACGGTTAGACCGCAGCTAAACCGGCTGCCAGGCCCGGTTAGACCGCAGGGACAGCGGCGGTCAGACCGGCCCCGGGGCAATTTTGCACGTAATTCAAATCGGACTTTTGTGAAGCGACAAGGTAAGTTTTCAGGTAAGTCTGGTTCTGATTTTGTTAGTGCATATAGTGCATATGTACCTACTGGTTCTAGTGGTCGTGTGACTCAGTGTTGGATTCCAAAATTTCTTATTTCTAACCCCAACACGGAGGCCTCGACATCTTCGTTCGTAGGTATTTTGGTGGCATACTCCCCATGTGCATTCAACGTTGAGATTGCTTTTCATGGTAACATCAATTTACTTTTGGATTGACATATTTTTTGGTTCTACTCTCTCGATTATTAGCTTTTCATATGCTAGTGTTTGAGGTAGTAGTTTTTCTTAATACAAGTGGATATATGTCGATTCATGATAACCTTGGTGATATCATTGGCAATTGGATGTCTTTCTCGAAATCTTTAATTTCTTCTTGATTTTTCTTCGGGGAGAATTGGAGGTTAATTTGAGGGGGAGTTTGTGCTTTTTCATGCATTCATGTTTATTTTTATGCATTTGCTCTAATTCTGAAAATTAATAAAAATAAGAAAAAGAAGAGCTTTGTTTTATACCTCTAGTATATTCTTGTGCATGCTAGCAAAATAATTGAGGTCTATTTGTTGCTATGTTAGCTTGTATGCATTTTAATCTTTATATGAAGCTTAGATATTGCTTTTAAGTGAGATGATGCATGACACTAAATCTTTTACTTGAATTACGAAAATATGCAATATTGATGCTAGCATATGGTTTGATTTATAAATGCTTTATATATATGCATTATTGAATTGTTATTACTCAAATAGCTTTAAATGCTCATTGTGAAAAGAGAATAAAAAATATGAAAACAATGAATACCGAATCCTTGGAAACAGTCTTGACGACAAGGACGTATTCGATGTGAGCAAAATAATGGGTGCCGAATCCCTGGAAACAGTCTTGACGACAGGGACGTACCCGGAATAAAAGAGAAAATTATGAGCAAAAAGGCTCAAGAAAAAGTAAAAATTCTCTTGGTTGCTTTGTGCTAAAGCTAATTTGAGAAAGAGTGATAAATGCAATAGGTATATATGTATAGTGTTTATTTTTCAATCTATGTGCTTGTGAATATATTGCATTATAAATCATTTGAAATCATGAATCATTATTGCTGATTTAAGCTTAATTGTAATATCTTTGATTCATGTTTATACTATGGTGCATGCTTACTAACTAGTTGATGAATTTATCTCCCATATCTTGCAAAACATGATCTTGAATTGCTTTTGGTACATTTCAAAGCTCTCGAAAAAAAAGAGAAAATATAAAATAAAAAATGGTTATTCCAAGTGGCAATCATGACATAATTGCATTTGTGCTTTATTGTTATTATTTCTCTTTTGAATTCTTGATGAAATCATTGTCAAAGGAGGAGAAATATACAAAATGCATGCTTCTTGTAAGGGGGAGAATTGAATTGTTTCGATTTTAAAAATAGTCAATTTTGTGCTTTGATCGCAAATTGATGGGAGAAATTCTTTCTTTTAAAAAGGGGGAGAGTTTTTCTTTTTCACTTTTGTGATTTTTGTTTTTATTTTTCAAAAACACAAATTTGCATTTTGGTGATGTTGCCAATGTGTTCATCAAGGGGGAGATTGTGAAATCATTGTCATGATTAATAGTTGTGATGAACAATTGGCTATGCAAATGATTTAGTTAAAGAATTGGTTTGAGAGTTTGTGTGAATGTTGGTGTGAATGCGTGTGACTAATGTGGGTCAGGTTGTGATATCTGTGCCCAGAAACGGTTGTTTCGTCTGATTGTGTGCAGGTGACTGGAGGTCAGCCTTGGTCAATGGTGAGGACTGAGACTATGTTCAGGGAGGAACAGAGGTCTATTGCGGTCGGGATACCACGTGAGAAGGTGACTAGAGTCTGGATTCTTGGAGGTCAACTTCGGTCAACGGTGGGGATCTGGACGAGACTCAGGGAGGAGTTGAGGTCCAGACGGTCAAGGATACCGGGTGATGAAGTTGGATACGAGATGGCATACGGTGGATGGACACCGTGTGGGAGAGATCTTCGCAACGGGCTTCACGAGATGTGCGTGCAAGTGTCGGTGTTCGCGAAGGGAATTGGAAGAGGTTTATGTATGGTGCTACAGTACGGTGGTGTACTGTAGTGTGCATATGTGTATGCGTGCTTGTGTACAGCATGCATATATGTGTGGTATACGTGCAGGTATGCATGCATGTACGGTGCTGTACATTTATGTGTGTGATCGATACATGCATGTGAAGCATGTATGTGTGCATGATTGGTTGGCCGAGCAGCAGGAGAGCGGCTCGGTGGCTGTGGCTTGTTGGAGCCGGCCCAGGCCGTGCGGCGCGAGGAGACCGAGTGCGAGCTGGCGAAGGATCGGTAAAGGAATCCGATCCGGAGCAGGATTTTCCATGGCCGGTGCGGCTGTGGTTTCGGAGAAAAAGGAAATTGAGAGATTGAGTCCTACTGTGAAGAGGAGTCCTACGTCTACTTTGATTAGGAGGGTTTTTCATGTATAAATAGAGGGGGAGCGTGAGGCTTCCTGGTATCGCTTTTCGGTATCGCTTTTCAGAGCGTGGAGTTGATAGTTTACTTAGGGTTTCGAGTTTAGTCGAGATTTTTGTAAGAAGTGCTGTTGTTGCACTTTGTAAACACAGAGAGAAGTAATAAAGTTGTCATCTACTTTGAGAGTTCTTCGATTTGTGTTTCATCGGGTTCGGCGGTCTACCAGTGACATACCAACGGTTCAACAGGCGACAAGACAGCGGTTCGACCGGCGGCGTGCAAGCGGTTCGACTGGCGGCGTGCGAGCGGTCCGACCGGCGGCGGCGACAGGATTACGTCGAGATTTCCATCGATTCGAGGGTAACTTTTATTTCCGTTAAAAGTTTTTGGGTTTTTGGTTTTCCCTACCATTCACCCCCCCTCTTGTAGGCTTGGTTTCTTGTGTTCGATCCTACAATTTTAACTTCCTCTAGCTAACACTAGGCCCTAATGGTTTAGTTGTTTATCTAGATCTTAGTTAATATTCATGAGACCTATTATGAAATGCAAATAAAAAATTCAAATGCACATGATGGACAAGTCAAAACATGTTTTATGCAAGTATGCATGCTTTTACTCGTGTTTGCATTTATGTCCTAGGTTATAAATGAAAAAGTTTTAATTTATTCTCAAATTGTACTTAGGTTCAAGTTAGATTGACCACACTTAGGTTAAAAATGGAAATTTTTAGCTCTCAAAAATGGAAAAGTTAGCTTCCAACTATTTTGATAGGAAATTTTTAAGGTCTAGAATTTGGGTATGTTACAGTGTTACCCTTGAGCGTTCGCTCGGAGATCTATTTGTATCTAACAATCTGTTATGAGTATTGATTTCAAGAAAGTCATATTTCAGGGCTTTGTCGCAGATTCTACAATTACTCGATTACTCGAGAACGATTGGACGACTACTCAATTACTCGAGAACGATTGGTGGAGTTCGACGAAAATTATGGAATGAAGAGATGGTGAACCTACCGAGATGAAAATTCTTGACTTCAACCCAAATTCTCGATTACGGCAGGTCAGTAAACTTAGTCGTATACTCCGCACCTTCTCGCTCGTCCGAGAATGGTCAAGCGAGAACAACATTGTTATTCCAAGGTCTTTGGTCGAGAACATCAACTCGTTCGTTTACGTTGATTTCATGCTTGTTTATGGCAGTTATTTAGACTTTAATTCAAATTCACTTGTAGAACGTTGATCTTTTTTCGATGATGTTGAGTACTCCATGTCTTCTCGAATGTTATCAAGAATGACCAAGTGAGCATGAAATGTTGGTAGGGAATGTCTTCTCGAATGGTAGACTTTTCACGCGATATTAATTAATTATAACCCTCTTGAAACCACAATTTAGAGGGTACACAGGTTAGTTAAGTCTAGAGAATAAATGAGAACCCTGCAAAGTAATTAACTACAACCATCTACAGGCCGATGGATCACACAGATACACAAAGGAGAGATCAAACAGTATATCCATCTGAGACTCTGTAGTTATCTCTCAGTTCAGTAGGGAGAGAGACATGCATGAATGCCTATACTGCGTCGTAGCTAGCTGGTTTCTTTTCTGTTTTGATGCGAAGTATGCGAGCATGTTCAGCAAGGATCCACACAACGGTCGTGAGCTCACCACCACGGGCAAGCTGCTTGGCATGAGAATCCCTTGTACATCGGATGGACACGTTAATCAGCTGACGTGCCCACTCCCCGATGATGGCATCCGTCGTCATTGCGATTGATGGAAAAGAGACATTCTTAGCGAATTCCATCAAATCCGGAAACTGCCGGTGAAATTTCTTTAGTATTGGGGGCTCGCCGTCGCCGTGTTCTCCAACTTTTTCAATGATATTCTTTCTAAAATTAGGACCTCTTATCCTAGGTAGCAGAAACATGGCTAGTATAGCTCCCTCTGATAGAACATTACTCGTGTCGTAAAGAACACTCAGAAAGCCGCTTTGGGGCCTCGAATCGTCCACCTGGAAGTAATTTCCCTCCTCATCTTCGTTGGCAATCAGGATCTCGGCAAGACGTTTCTCTCTCATCATTGAGCTAGTACGCAAGGAAGGATCACTACCTTCTTTCTCCTTCCATATTCCGGCAAGAGCCTCACTGACAGCTTCATATCGGCTACTGAGGACGAGGCCCGGTAGCATCCCGGGCCGCACCGCGACGAGGAACATCATGTAATCTGACAACGCCTTGATCACCTCCACATCCTTTTTGGACTTGGGCGATGCTTCAATTTCTGATTCCGCTGAGAAGAGGAATATGTCCGTGGCGATGTGCAAGATAAGAATGGTCTCTTGTAAATCAGGAGTGAACTTCAGGGCAAGGTCTGCTTCCTGATGAGCATGTGTAAATGGAGGAGCCGCCGGTGCAGGCCTCCAGGCCTCCGTCACTATTATTTGTCGTGGTGGTCGTCGTTGTGGGAAGGGTTTCTTCAAGACTTGCCAGATAGAGTTGAACAACTCGTCCCTGAAATCTCTTGAATCAATATGATTGCCCCTCATGCGCTGGTATTCGTACTCCATCCAGTTCTCCTCCGGTGCTAACCGCTTGAACATGCCGCTCTTCCAGTTCTTGGTCCTTGCCTCGCTCTCGTAGCGAGTGCACTCGTGCAACAAGTTGTACTGTCCAATGGTTTGTGACCACATCCTGTATCTAGTTGGCTTCTTATTATTGTCAAGGATCCGAAACAGATTCAGATCAGACACGATGAGGCGACGGATCAGTCGCCATTTCCCTGAGCACAGAAGTGCATGATGAAGCCACGATCGTGGCCTCTCATCAAGGAACGAGTAGAACCATGTCGACGCCACCGCTCGGAGAAGCCATTTGATGTCCAGGACGACCATGCCGGCCAGCAGGACATAGGTGATCACGACGTCGGCCGTCGCCTGACCTTCCTTGCTGTGGAGCCAAAACAGCACGAATGCCGCCGTCGCGGCGATCGGAGAGGCGAAACGGAGGATGTAGCCTTTCCATGAGTGCACCACGGCCGCCTTGGTGTAGATGAGGTCGTACATGAGGGAGAGCTCCATGTTGACCACCCTGTACAGCTTCTCATCCCATGTAGCAGAGAGTGCTTCTTGTTCATCCGCATTATTTTGGTCCAGAAAATCGATGAAGGCGTCCTTGGTGATGTCTAGCATGTCATGAGCAGCCAGAAGGATTTGCTCATCATTCGGCTCCCTGCCTCCACGCCTAGCGATCTGGAGGCTGTTTCGTACTGATTTTGTACTGTTGTTCTTCATCTTCATCTTCTTTCTCGAGCTTTGCATGCTCTTCAGGTTGCCCTGCATCAGCGCTTGGAATGCTCCCTCCCAATACTTGCCGATGGCCATCAACAAGACGAGCGAGGAGACCCCGAGCATGGCGTCGCCGCCATTGCTGATGATGAAGGAGATGTTCTTCAGCAGGAAAGGGAATGGTGACGCCGATCCAAGCAGCTGATACCACACGCCAGCCTGCTGCCGCCTCGAGAGAACGGTGTCCTCCAAGGAGTAGGCGGTGAAGTTGTCAGGCATGCCGGCGTGCAGCAGCATGAACGCCACCCAGAGCGTCACCAGCTGCTCTTTCTGTGGCGTGCTGCCGACTGACAGCGTGCCCAGCACGGTGACCGGAGCCCAACGGGCAAACTGGTTCGCTCCCCACAGGATGAACATCCGCACGCCGGTTGGTTGATGGCGGCGGAGTCCAGCGAAGAAGACGAGGAAAAAATGAGCAACGAAGCTGAAGATTACCAATCCACGGAGCGACGAAATAAACTGTAGGATGAGCAGGAAGGTAATGATCCATCCAGGCATTGCCCCTGCTAATAGTGCATTTGTTAGTTGAGTGCGAAAATATACTGTGGAAACCATGAAAACTCGAATAAACCACGACATACTCCCTCCGTCCCAAAAAAAGACGAACCCTGATTTCCGTGTCCAATGTTTGACCATCCGTCTTATTTGAAAAAATTATGAAAAAAATTAAAAAGAGAAGTCACGCATAAAGTATTCATCATGTTTTATCATCTAACAACAATGAAAATACTAATTATAAAAAAATTTCATATAAGACGGACATTCAAACGTTGGCACGTAAACCCGCAGTTTGACTTTTTTTGGGACGGAGGGAGTAAAGGTTATCTAAATCTACATGGAAAAAAATCCCACATGTAGATAAGATGACGTTCAATAGCAGTATAAAAAGTCTTGTCCAAATTCAACTTCATTGGCGAGACAAAAAAATGAGAATTTTAATTTTCAAACAAATCGCCAATACTATTTTCTACTCCCTCCGTTTTTTAATAGATGACGCCGTTGACTTTTTCTCACATGTTTGACCATTCGTCTTATTCAAAAATTTTATGCAAATGTATAAGATATAAATCACACTTAAAGTACTATGAGTGATAAAACAACTCATAACAAAATAAATTATAATTCCGTAAATATTTTGAATAAGACGAATGGTCAAACATGTGAGAAAAAGCAACGGCGTTATCTATTAAAAAACGGAGGTAGTACTTGAAAGATATGTTAGTTTTAGTCTCAGAAAAACTTAACCAATTTGGATAAGATTTTCTAGTTTCCACATGACCATTGATATCCATCTTATCTACACAGTACTACATGACTACATGTGAGACTTCTTTTGTGTGGTTTATATGAGATTTTTGTTAGATTGAGTTTCCACGGTTCCACCGTATATTTGGCCTAGTTAAGTAGGAAGAAAGTTTAACGTAGACAAACTAGATGAATTACAAGCAGCACGACAACGAGACGTACCAGGCGATGGTTGAAGTCGACGGCGTTACTGTTGCCACTGATGGACTATACGCGCGTACACCTGACCGATATATATCTCTATCAAGTTTGGAATCTACAAATGCTAGAACAACAGCAAACAAGATATACATTGGTGCCTTGGTGGGTTTAACAATGCTTGTACCCACCCAGGATTTATAAGATCTGGCCATTTCATTAGTATATATGTTACTATTATATTGCATGTGCTTTGCATTTCATTAGCCAAATGTGCTACCATGCCAAAAGTGCATCATGATCAACCATTTTTAATAGTTTACTCTATTTCTATGCAAGGATGTACTAGGTATACAATTGCTTGTGCTAGCCACGTAATACAAACAAACTAAAGGGATTAAAGGTGACGCACTGATATATAATTTTTTGTACAGCTACTACCTCTGAGCACCACATGAGCATCACTAGTTCGAGCCCAGCTCAGCGGATGCTTCAAAGACAAAAAAAAAAAAAGCAACGGCGTTATCTATTAAAAAACGGAGGTATTACTTGAAAGATATGTTAGTTTTAGTCTCAGAAAAACTTAACCAATTTGGATAAGATTTTCTAGTTTCCACACGACCATTGATATCCATCTTATCTACACAGTACTACATGACTACATGTGGGACTTCTTTTGTGTGGTTTATATGAGATTTTTGTTAGATTGAGTTTCCACGGTTCCACCGTATATTTGGCCTAGTTAAGTAGGAAGAAAGTTTAACGTAGACAAACTAGATGAATTACAAGCAGCACGACAACGAGACGTACCAGGCGATGGTTGAAGTCGACGGCGTTACTGTTGCCACTGATGGACTATACGCGCGTACACCTGACCGATATATATCTCTATCAAGTTTGGAATCTACAAATGCTAGAACAACAGCAAACAAGATATACATTGGTGCCTTGGTGGGTTTAACAATGCTTGTACCCACCCAGGATTTATAAGATCTGGCCATTTCATTAGTATATATGTTACTATTATATTGCATGTGCTTTGCATTTCATTAGCCAAATGTGCTACCATGCCAAAAGTGCATCATGATCAACCTTTTTAATAGTTTACTCTATTTCTATGCAAGGATGTACTAGGTATACAACTGCTTTTGCTAGCCACGTAATACAAACAAACTAAAGGGATTAAATAAAGGTGACGCACTGATATATAATTTTTTGTACAACTACCTCTGAGCACCACATGAGCATCACTAGTTCACTACCATTCCGAGGAATATATGGGGTCCCTGTGTATTCGCTACACAGCTGGATTTGCTAAAACTGATCCTCGTCGACAACCTCCGAATGAATATAGTTATTAGTTAACTAATTCCTTTGAAGCATATTCTCTTGTCAATATTAATATATTAATAAAATAATAAAACAATAATCACTACTAAAAAAGTCATTGGTGCCGGTTGAGAAACCCCATAGGTGCCGGATTTCCGATCTGGCACCACAGGCGACACTGATGAGGAGGACTAAAAATGCCGGTTTAAGAACCGGCACATGTGAGGCATATGGATTGAAATAAAAAAACAGCTTGGCTCAATTCAAGCCCAGCCGATGCCTCAAAGACAAAAAAAAAAACAAAAACAAAACAAAAAATCTAACAAAAAAAACTAGTACACATCAGAGAAACAACAAGTTTATAAAAAAACAAATATTCACATCAGAGAATCAACATGTTTGAGGAGGAGGAGCCCCGGGTAGTCCGCCGCGTGTTGACGAAAAATCCACGCTCAGCCGAAAATGCTAGATCTGTGTTGGCGCGAAGTAGATCGACAACAGCAACGACCTAGGAGATCTACTTAGCTTTAGTGTTGGTCCAAAAATTGATGAGATGCGGGCGTGCCAGTCATTTTGAGAAAAGATATGTGTACACAACAGATCAAATAGCCGATCAGCTGACAAGCCGATGGAGAAGTTCCAGCCGATGCCGATACCAGCCGATGCCGATAGGGTTTTGAGCAATCGATTATATATCCAATGTGGATAATGATATAAAGACAATCGACTGATGATAATGTAATAAAACAATAATATGATCTAGTTGAAACCAATCAACTAACAATAATATGATAAAATAAGTGATCTGATGGTTAAAGTATACATCAGCGGGAGGTCTATTGTCATAGAATACACAAGATTAGATAATTAATGAAGCATTTGTTGCAATTGGCTAAAACCAACTTGTATTCAATTTTTATAAGCCGATTCAACGTCCAAATAACTCATCAGCTGAAATCCCGATGAAACCCTTATTATAATCAAAGACAGGTTAGCCTTTATGATTTAAGCACGACTAAGGATGATGCATCACAAAGTATGCTAAGAAGCAAAAAGTCTAAAAATCAAGTCTTCGACAAATTTTCAGGATGGTGGATACCTTAGCTAATCTAATCAGATAATTTAGCTGATACTAGCATAAACCCTAAAATGAATATCAGCCGATATGATCAAATTAAGGTGCTAAGCTATATTAACTAAGATATATGACAAATAGGTAGGCAAATATATAAACCGAACCAGAGCGATCCAAGAGATTGAAGCGATGCAGCTTTGAAGCACACCAATGTAACCGATACAATTGCCAATGCCGGCGGTACGTAGGACTTACCCCTTCGCCGGAGATCGAAAGTCAATGCAGCCCCGTGTTAGGTGCCATGTTCTGCCGGATGATAAATAAAACCTCGGGAAAGAGGGTGGCGATACACCAAGAGTAATTGTATAGATCTCTGTGATAGTTTACAATGACCTCGGGTGTACATATTTATACCCATGGATAGATACTAGTCCTTATTGGACAAGAAAGAAACTTTCATAATCATAAAAGGAAAATATAAAATCCTTATCGGACACTAAACACACTTTTCTAGAGAGATAAAAGGAAACTAACAAACTCTTCCTAATTAATAGATAAACTGCCAAGCCACATCCTCCTTGAACTCAGTCACTTCTGAATAAACTTCCTTTAATAGTTTAATTTCCTTAACCAAATCTACTAAGGATCCGATTATTGGTGACTTGATAATTCTCATCAGCCGATTCGAAGATGTTGAAGCCAATATTGATTCTAAGCTGATGATGACTTCGGAGCTTACAAAATTTTGGCGTTAACACCGCGGCAACATCACAGAGGAGCAGGAGCAGCTCAAGGAGCAGCGGCGGCTAGGGGGCGAGGACAATGACAATGCCATGGCATAGGAGGCATGGTTGACGTTGACAGGCGCTAGCACTCCTCCCGCTCCCTCACTTGACGAGGTGGAAGGCTGTGACATCCTGGCGCAATTAGGATGAGGCCCGTGTGGCCCATGTGAGCTGTGTGCGCAAGTTTCGTACCACCTTGCTAGCACTGGTGGAACCAACTTATAAGGCATCTTCCCTCCAACCATGTCACTTCCGAGTTAACCCTTTTATACGAAGCGAGGATGAAATTGTAAGTGGAGAGGTATCTGTAAGTGGGCCAGCCCGTCGGATAGACTGGCTACACGGTTCTGGAGGGAGGGCTGTTACAAATGGTATCAGAGCCGACCCTCGCGGTTGCATGTACGGGTCAGTGTGTGCTAAGAGGGGGTATGTTCCTAGACATTTGCCTATATGCCTAAGTGGCTAGGTAAGTTGGACCGACGAGGACGTCAGATCCTCTAGTTTAGCACAAGTGGAACCAACTTATAAGGCCTCTTCCCTCCAACCATGTCACTCCCGGGTTAACCCTTCTACACGAAGCGAGAACAAAAGTGTAAGTGGAGTGGTATGTGTAAGTGGGCCAGCCCGTCGAATTGGTTGGCTATGCGGTTCTGGAGGGAGGACTGTTACAAAGGCGCCCCAGGGTACCCCTGTGCCCCTGCGCTAGTTCAACACCGTCGGTGCCACACTTCTCCTTGAAAGGGCACAGCGGCGACGGCGTATGGTGAGAGGAGCGAGGACGACAACCTCGACGCCGTGGTGCAGGAGGTGTGATTGACGGTGACAAGCGCCGGCACTCCCCTCGCTCCCCTACCCTATGAGGTCGACAGCGTCGCGGGCTTTGCTCATTGGTGCCGGTTGGGAAGCGCTAAAGGTGCTGGATTTCCGAACCGACACAACAGAGGTAACACTTATGAGGACTCGCAGGTGCCGGTTTAAGAACAGCTCAGCTCAATTCGAGCCCAGCGATGCTTCAAAGACAAAAAAAAAACAAAAAATCTAACAAAAAAGAGACTAGTACAAATAAGAGGAACAAGTTCATACATAAGAGAATCAAACATTCACATCAGAGAATCAACAAGTTTGAGGAGGAGGAGGAGCCCCAGACGGTCCACCGTGGCAACGTCATAGAGGAGCAGGAGCAGCTCAATGAGCAGCGGCGGCATGGGGGCGAGGACGGCGATGGCGCCGTGGCGCAGGAGACGTGGTTGACGTTGACCGACGCCAGCATTCCTCCCGCTCCCCTACCCGATGAGGTCGACGGCGCCGCAGGGTGCCCCTGCGTCGGACCAACCTTGTCGGTGCCACGCTTCTCCTTCCAAGAGCACGGCGGCAGTGGTAGAGAAGCGAGGATGGCAATGTCTCCGTGGTGCGGGAGGCGTGATTGACAGTGACAAGCGCCGGCACTCCCCCCGCTCCCCCACCCAATGAGGATGATGACGTCACGAGGTGCCCCTACGCTGGCTCGGCCCCATCAGTGCCGCGCTACCCCTTCTGACTCCGTTAGCCCTGAAGGCAGAGGGGAGGTGGTGGCATGGTGAGTCACGGCTGGTTATTTGGGGAGGAGACAAGATGAGAAGGGAGGAGAGGTAAGGGAGGTGGTGGCTTGGGGAAGAGGAAGGAAAGGGAGAGGAGCACGAATTGGATGAGAAAGGATAAGAAGGAAGCATAAAGAGAATAAGAAGGAAGCGAAGAGACCGAGGAGATAAGGATGAGAGGACGGGAGATAGGTGTTGGTTGTATTGAAAACCGACACTTCTACCTCGTATGAAAGTGCCATTTTTTAATAGGAATCGACACCTATTTGAATAGCAATGTCCTAGCTTTTGCCGCTGGCACCCCCGCGGGAGCCCGTGTGGGTGAGAAAAGCATTATAAATGTCAGTTTTAGCTATTCTAACACCTATATATAGTGTTGTCTCCTTTTTTTAGCAGTGAACATTTGCTTCGGTGCATATCAATAGCCGGAGGCGAAGAAGTGGTGAAGGAAATCCACCAAGGATTGTGTGGAGCCCATCAGGCAGCAAGGACCGTAGCATCCGAAGAGTTTCGGCAAGTGTATATTGGTCAACCGTACTCAAAGTATGCATTGACCAGATCAAAAGGTGCGAAAGCTGTCAGCGACATGGCTGAAGCCAGTCAGCCCCTCAGTATGAATTATGGCCCATTGCACCTGTCTAGTCGTTTGCAAGGTGGGGGCATGACATCATTGGCCCGTTCCCTATGGCGCGAAATGGCTACCGGTTCGCCATTGTTGCTATTGAGTACTTCTCTCGGTGGTTAGAAGCTGAACCACTCCATACTATCACTTCGGCAGCAGTCCAGAAATTCTTGCGAAAAACCATTGTCTGTCGGTTTAGTGTGCTGAAAGAGTTCATCACCGACAATGGCAAGTAGTTCAACTCTAATGAATTCAGAGAGATGTGCGAGGGGCTAAATTTGGAGATCAGGTTCGCCTCGGTTGTGTTGGTATTTCTTACGATCACAGATGAAATCCACAAGCGCATAGATATACCGCTGTAGCACTTCCCCTATAGAGTATTCCAAGTTTGGTCAGATCTTTCTCCGGTTCATCCTAACACGATACTTCAGGCACTGGCAACCACACTAAAGCAACCACTATAAATAAATGGACTATAGTGAACAATGATCCCGTATGCTATTTAGGAACTAACCAAGAGATAACTCTCACTAGACAAATCTAAATTACTAAGGAAGAATATTATATTGAATTCAGAGTAATAAACAGAATAACAGAAATGAGAGAAGATTAACGACAACTCCAGAATTCTTCCGACTTCTTCTACTCTACTCTCTTCCTATTCTAGTATACAATATAGTACAACAGAGCCTCTTATAATTCATCTCAAGCTTGGAAGTGTGCATTGAAGTGAGTAAAGTGAGGTCTTTATATAGAGGTAGGTATGACGGTTAGCGAAGAGGAAATGTCCGAACTACCCCGCAACCGCCATCAAGGAGTGATCTGGAGCGTCCACGCCAAAACCTGGGATCAACAGTGGGGGTTCGGCCGAACCTGGGCTGGGCCCCCCTAGCCTGGCCTTTGGCCTGGCTCCTATCCTGGTCCTCCCCTATCCAATCCTCAGTGTTTTAGGCTGATTTTCTAGTATTTTGATGAAGTTCACAACCCATCCTTGTATGGATACATATTTGTCCTCACTTTAGTCTAGATTTCCTCCCAACCTCAGTGTTTATCACCTGCATACAAATATACACCAACACTTGTAGAATATGTGAGATTAAGCACCTATCACTATGTTGGATGTTTTATTATCTGAAATTTATGCAGATGTTGGCAGTATAGAATTGGTATTTAACAGCCGCCAACAAAACCCCCCACACTTAGCTCTTTGCTCGTCCCTGAGTAAAAGTTAGTGTAGAATGAATTTCTTCAAGATATAAATAAGGCATATAAATCATTCATAACCATACCTGCACCTGTGAACTTTATTAGTGTCTATCTTACCATCTTGAGTAATTGATAAACGGAACGTCCTCGATTCCAGTCCTTCTTACTTCTGTGTCAGACTCATGAGATTTTTATGAATTTTCGCAAACCAGCTCTTTTCCTCATATTGACTTTCTCTCTTATTTCTCAAGGATGAATATTTTATTTTTGGATCCTCACCAAGACAAAATGTGCTAGAATTTATCCCTACTCTAAGGCTGATATGTGGAGTTCCGTAGGGACAAACTGTGACATACCTGCATCATATATATTGCAAAGCCAAAAATACGGACTCAAGAAGATCATCAGCCATACTCCTAGATCAAGGGTCTTTATTTGTGGTAGAAAATAGAAAAGTAAAATATTTTGTGGAATAGTGGAATAAAGAAATGATTCTCCTTTTTTCATGTACTTTCTCTCCATTTTGTTTTCTTGGCATGAATATGGAAGGGGCATGGCTATATTTTCTTTTCATCATGCTCAATGTTTTGAGAGCAAGCTTTATTTCCTCTTTTTTTTTTCTTTTCCATAGCCATGCCTTTCCCTCCTTTTCTCATTTTTTTTTGCTAAGACCTTTTTTTTTCTTCTAACAGAAGAAAGCATAGTCTAATGTAGGAGTTTATTTGAATGGAATTTTAGTGGGAAGCCAACTTCCAGTGTAAAATCTTAGCTTAATTATATATGTGGAAATGGAAATGACCCCTTGATCATGAGAGTATGAAAGATATCTAGCACGAGTCACACAAATTTGTTAAAGCTTAACATAATGTCAAGCAGTCATACGCATAATAAGGTTTATCAAAGATATACTTGCATACGACCTTGGTAGGAATAAAGAATGAAGTCAATTGGAGGAATGAGCTTTTAAAACAATTTTATTTTGAAAACAAATTCCCAAGAGTCATAACAAAAGTTGCAAGAATTCCTTTCATCTTTAATCATCTCTCATATAGCAAATACTTAGATGTATAAGGGTCCCTAAACATGGATGGTTGTTCATAAGCACAGGTTCAGCTGAGAATAAAGAATATACAAGATCAACCATATGAAAAATTTCATTAGTTGGAAATTTTATCTTATACTTATGCTTGAACCAATTGTTTCCTGAATTTTCAACTCTAGTACTATACCATGGTGGAGATATACAAATAATGGACGTGCTCGCCTGCTTACCTGTGAAAATTGAGAAGGATTGGGGCCAGCTTTGGTTCGGCCGAACCACTCTGGCGCCTGATCCCTCAGCAACTTTCTGCAGTGTATAGTGCTTCCAGGTGTTCAGACCTTTCATCAGTTTTCAGAGTATGTGCACGTCAGAAGCTGGGATATCTCCCCCACACTTATTCAACACCTGAACTTTATTAAACCTAAAACAAAAAAAAAAACTTTGGCAAACATTGGGGTTAACACCAATGAGCCACATTATTTATAGCAAGTGCTTACATGATTGGAAAAAAAAAACTAAGCACCTACTACTTTATTCATGGGAGAGGAGACATCTATTTTGCATAATCTCTATTCTCCTTACCCATTTCTACAAATGGATGCTTGATTTTAGCGCACAAACCGCGACTAAGGGTATCAACATTATTCCTAAGCTCAGCGAGTTCTACCCGTAGCTCCGCGTTGCGGTCCCTAAACTCAATATTCTCCTTGTGGAGCTTCTTCACTTATGATGCTAGCTTATGAACCGAGGGCTCCGGCGACTTTACTTCTTCCTCTTGAAATTGGCCGGCCCCCCTTACAATTGGAGGGGGGCGTCAAATGACGCTTCACCTTCATAAGTGGAGGGCTACGGGATTCCGCTGCCCCCTCCTTCTCCGATGCTGTCAAAGGCCGGAGCAAGCCTTTACCATACCCATCGTCGGGAGTTCGCACTCCCTGAATGCAGAACCGTTCCTTCTTTGGAGTGGTTGGAGTAGCGGTGGGCATGGTGTACTTGTGGACCACCTCATCTCCTGCTTTTTTGAACAGGGTGCCCACATATCGCTCGGCGGGAAGCGGAGCGGCCTTCTCATCATCTTGAAAAAGGCGACGCGCCTTCAAGAGACCGAGCTCGCCCATTGTCGGTCGTCGCGCAGGCGAATCCCCTCGGACTTTGGTCCTCGTGACATGGCGAGGGGAGAGGGATCGCGCTACCGAACGGGGGACCGAATGGGGCCGAAAAGGGTTCGGCCGAACCCCACCAGGGACCTAACCGATTGGCTCCAAAATCGCAGGGGAACCTGGAACAACTACAAGGGGTTGAGCCCATACAACGTTTACCCCTTCCATTGTGTATTCTTCCACCGGAATGAGTTGATTCCCCGGTGTAAGTTCTCCTTCAAGGTTGTAGGTGTTGTTTGAGGATGAACCAATGTAAGGCATGAGAGATTTGCAAGCCATGGATGGCACAAGGGTTTGGATCAAAGGTTTTGAGAATGACTGGGGAATTGAATGGAGAGGCTTTTGCAAAGGAGGAAGAAGGAGAAGAACTAGCTCAGGGGCGTGATCCGATCGTTCTATCTCTAAACTCGCATCTAAACAGATCAAGCAGTAGCGGGGGAGACTGCCATTCAAAATTGGGACTGATCGGGCGCCGCCTTGGTTCGGCTGAACCCTGGCGGGTCCGGCTGGCCGCCAATTTTTTCCTAGGCCCACTAATTCCTAAGCTAAGCACAAAAATGACAACTTTGCATGGTTTTTAGCATGGAATAGATGAGACCATTATGGCTCATAATCGATTAATTCAATAACATCCACTTCTTCATCTAAAGTTTCATTTGGCACAAGGAAAATTTTTAAGCGTTGACCGTTTACCTTGAATATATTACCTGAATCATCACGGAGTGTGATTGCCCCATGTGAAGAGGTGTCGATGACGTCGAACGGTCCTTCCCATTTGCTGCGCAATTTTCCGTGGCCGAAAAGCATAACCCTGGAATTGAACATCAGTACTTTGTCTCCTGGCTTGAATTTCTTAATGTTTATCCTTTTATCATGCCAGCGCTTCGTCCTTTCTTTATATATCTTTGCGTTGTGGTAAGCCTTCTCTCTCCATTCTTCAAGTTCAGCAATTTTCATTTTTCTTCATTCTCCTGCTCCTTCAAAGTTCATGTTCTAGTTTCTGATGGCCCAATATGCTCTGTGCTCGAGCTCTACGGGTAGTCGACATGACTTCCCACAGTGCGTCTAGCAATCTATCCTTTCACCATGTTCCCATTTTGTTGACCGTCTTCTGCACAATATTCTTCATTTGTTTGTTTGATGTTTCTGCTTGACCGCTGGTCTGTGGATAGTAAGGAGTGGCCACATTGTGTTTGGCTCCCATGTCTTGTAGGAGGTCTCGGAAGGTTTTGTCGATGAAGTGAGAACCTCCGTCACTTATGACCATCCTAGGGGTACCAAATCTTGGGAGGATGATTTCTATGAACATCTTCTTGGCATGCTTCGCATCCGCGGTGCTGCATGGCATAGCCTCAACCCACTTGGAGACATAGTCGACTGCCACTAGAATATACTCGCAGTTGCGGGACTTAGGGAAAGGTCCCATAAAGTCTATACCCCAAACATCGAATATCTCGACTTGCAAGTTGTATGTGAGGGGCATTGCATCACGAGCAGTAATTCCTCCTTGCCTCTGCCAGCTTGTGCATCTTCTAACGAATGCTTTTGAATCTTCATACATTGTCGGCCAGAAGAAACCACTTTTCCAAATCCTGACCCGGGCGCGGAATGCATACAAGGAACAATCACAAGAGCTCGTGCCTGTTCACTTCATTATCAGGCAGTTTCGTTCTTAAGGTTACAATATCAGGATTTCTTGAAAGGAGTACAACTAAATAAATCCTGTGATAATTCACGCGGGAAAGATTGCTTGTGATAATATTATTGTGCTTAAGAACGAAGGAGAAAAAACGAAGGAGATGCACATAGTAAAAAATGATTATACACTACAGAAGGTCCCAATTTGGCCTGCCACATTGACCCAAGTTGAAAAGGATGCCCATTGATTCAAGGCTTCGTTTGGTGACATGCAATGGTATATACGATTTAGCCTCAAAAATAAAATTAATCTAGCGGACCGCACTTGCAAAAAGAGTGCCTACTTTTTTCTGTAAACGAGTACTACGATCAAACCTGCATACATGCCATATTGACTACACGATACTATTTCTTGCGCTTATTCTCGTGATTCTCCTGTGGCCATCTCCAGTTATGTATCAATAAGACAGTCTTTTCCCCTAAACAAAAGGACAAACCATGTTCATCTATGAGGAGATTGATCATTCTCTTGATTGGTGAACAACGGACAATATTATTATCATTTCTTTAGTATTACAGGCTTGATAAGCCGATCAAGCAATTGGTTTGCAATTTGCCTCACAGGCTTGCAAGCTAGGGTAGCATACATTTCTACAGCAGACCTTCGATGGGGAGAAAATGTTGCCTGGTACGGGTACCAAACCATTTATATTGACATTGTTGCGTCCTTCATTCATGGATGCACTCCTGGTGTAATCCAGATTTTTACCTGAAAAATAAAAAATATTTTACTAGGAAAGCATGAAAGATACAGAAAAACCATATGCAATACATGGATATGTGAAGATGGATGTCCAGAAGAAAATTGGAATCACAAATTTTACTCTGAAAGATATGTTTCTTTAATACATCGTGATTACCACAGAAGAATTGAATAATTGTGAAATCAAAATAAACCTTGGATTCACCATTGAGATTCAATATTAGATAGTAGATTACCATACACGTGGCCAGGAATGCTAAAACAGCCTAGAAGGGCCAACAACAGAAGCAGAAGTCCACGGCTACAGTTCGGCATCTGCTTGCCCATTTGTGTGATTGCTTTGTATGAAGCTGTGGCTTGTGCTTCTTCTTTGTTTTACGATGGTTATATAGACAGCACAACTGAAATAAATAGGCAAAAGTAATCCAATGATTAATAGTATCCAAATATAAGGCTTATCCTAAACATATGTACAGTTTTGTTATATATTATTGAAATGAAGTATGGTGGATAGTCTTATCTAATCTTACCATTTGCAGTTTACTCATATTGCTAAACATGGACGGTGGCCTATGTAACGTCTACTAGACACTCATTGTGATAGCTAAATATTTATTGATATGTTTATTCTGCACAATCTATGCGAAGTTATTCCCTCGTGTAAGAAATATAAGATCTTTTGCACGATGATACGGTCTGACATATTAAATTTTACCACTAATATTCTTTCCAGTATACTCGGTGAAAAGTCACTAGAATTACAACACTATAAAAAGATGATTGTAAAAGTAGTTAAACATATTTTACCGTTCCTATAATCTCTACCTCCCAATGAAAATTTTAAAAACATTTACGTGTTGTTTGGTGATAAATCTGTTTTATGATCAAAGCAAATTTCTTTGTATTATATAATCCCTTATTTTCCATATGTTACCTGTTAATCAGTGGCGGGCCCAGCTTTTTAAACTTGGGTATTCGAAATGGGAAGGGGTAAAAAAATATCCATACACCAAAAAGCCAAAAAATGGGCTTGTATATTATGATACACTAATAATTATAATTTAGAGCGTATAGAACATAAAATTGATCATTAGTTCACACAGTGATAGAATTGATCATCACTAGAAATTGTTTAACTTATAGAAATACTAATACCAAACATATCAAAGTGTCAAAATATGGAATACAAAAATGATAGAAAATAATAAGTTAGGAAGAAAACTTACAATTTAGATATTAACTTTTCGACGCTTGATATTTTGGAAATAATTGATGATGTCCTTGTCCTTAGCTTGCAAAAAGAATTCTCTTTCAATGAATGTAACCAAACAATCATTCAAATACTACAAATTTGCTAATATGGTATGAACTATGAACTACTGCCCAGTGTCCAATATACTCAATTACTCAAATACTCAAATAGGCAACTAGTCAACTACAATCCTACAAACTAAATGTCTAAATCAAGCAAGCAAGCAAGCAAGCAACTACACTAAAATACTAAATGTCTAAATCAATGAATTTTTGTGCTTGTCCCGTTGTCCGGAGTTTAGTCACTCACTGTGCTAATGTGCTTGTCCGGAATTTGCAGGTCAGGCAGTCGCCGGCGAGCAGGATGCCGCACGGCCGCAGCGGCAGCGCGCAGCCGCCGGCTGCCTCGGGCCTCAGCGTGGAACGGCGGACGCCGACCTGCAGGCTGCAGCTGTGCAGCGCCTGCTCCTGCTCGGCTGACGGCCTGGAGCAGCCTCCTGCCTGGCTGCCTCCTGGGCCCCTGCAGGCTGCCGCGCCGGCTGCCGCACGCGGCACGCCGTCGCCCGTCGGTCACGGTGCGCCTGCCGGTCACGGGCTTGGCGCCTTGGCCTTGGCGGCTCACCGCCTCACCGGTCGCCGTCGCCGCCGCCGCGCCGCACGCTGCTGCAAGCCACGGCCGCGCCGCACGCCGCCACGGCTCCCGCCGCCGGCAGCCGCACGCTGCACGCAGCCCCCGCCGACCGCCGCACGTCACGCCGCCGCACGCCTCCTCCCGTCGCCGTGCTGTACTGCTGTGTTGTGGTCTAGGGTTTGCAGGTTTGGGTGGCCAAGGCGCCAGGCGGGTGGGGAATTGGGGGAAAATTGCAAATGGGCTGATATGTGGCCCAATTAGACCACAGGTTGAGAGGAAAGAGGGAGGCGAGTGGAAAATTTAGGCCCAATAGAGAAGAAATGGGGAAACAAGGCCCAATATAAGCAGTTTAAGCTTTCTTTTTATTTTTTTAATACCTATATGAACTATATAGTATATATACCTATTTTTTTTTTCCAAAAATCTTGGGTATACATCTGAATACCCATGAATACATAGTGGGCCCGCCCCTGCCTGTTATGGATTTCTCGTAAAAAATACTTATGGATGTTGATATATTTTTGGGAATAGATAATGAACATAGGATTGGTGGATAATCGTTTCAGATGTATTTGTTGGTCTATTTTTGTAAAGTATCCTTAACGGTTAAAGCGGCAAACATTGTATGCTGAACTACTGGGTTGTTGGAGGTGGAGCTAGACATCCTATGAAATTTTACCAACTGGAGCAGATGGTATGACCCGAGAGGTGCCATGTTTGATCGGGGGGAGGGGGTGCGACTACAACTTTAGGTGAGCATGATTCCATGCATAACTCTTGACAAAGGACAAGAATCACTTGTACAACCAAACTTGAATTATGGTTGCATGATCAGATGCAATTGTCCGAGGTATACGATGTGAACCACAAGGTATACCAGAAAAAAAAGGTAGAGGGAAGATCTCAAGCTAGCAAAGATGTAAAGTCAACAATGTTGTCACGTCCTGATAAATTCATCCCGAAATAAAAATCATTCTCTAAAAGAAAATAATAGAATTAATTAAAATTCGAAAAGAAATTGGCAAACCTTAAAAAGCGTACAGAAAAAATTCGAATGTGGCCAGGAGAATTTTTGTTAAATTCTCATTGGTCTAAAAGGAGCCCTCAAATTTTTCTTGAATTTTCAGAGCACCGGAAATATTTATTAAGCAACAATACCAATTAGCAATGTATATTAAAAGAAAACCTAAAAATAATCTCCTTCCTCCTTTGGGCCGAGTCTAGCCCAAAGTCTTCCCCTCCTCTCCCCTCGGCCCGGCTCCCTCCCCCTCCCTTTCTCTCCCGGGCCTCCTCTCCCTCCTCTCCTCCTCCCGGCCTTCCTCGGCCCAGCCGCCCGGCCCAAGCCTGGCCGAGCCGAGCCAGCCGCGTGCGCATGCGCGTTGCACACGCGCTGACCGCGCCTCCCGCGTGGGACCCACCAGCCAGGCGCATCTCCTTCCTCCCGCACGGCCTCTCTCTCTCTGCCGTACAACCCTATTTCCTTGCTCCCTCAAATCCGCGTGATTCAAGCATGGGATTCCAAAATTGATTAGGGGGAATTAATCCCCTTTCCTTCCTCTTCAATTCCCCCTTTATTCTCCCTTGATTCGTGCTCTTATTCACCCGGAACGGTCGCGCCGTTCCCGGCCACCTTCCATGGCCGCCGGCCGCCAATCCCGCCGCCGTTCACCGCTCCTCCCGTGGCCGGCTCGTTCCCCTCCGCTATAAAATGGGACCCTCTCCTTCCGTTCTCTAGTTTTTGCCTCTTCCCGAGCTCCCCCGTGGCCGCACCACCCCTCCCCGCCGCCGTCCTCTCTCTCCCGTGCCGCCGGCCGCCTCCAGCCGCCTCTCCCTCCTCACCCGAGCGCCGTCCGGCCGCGCTGTCTCCTCCCTCGGCGTCTCAGCCGCCTCCTCTCCCCCGCGTCCTTGCCTCCATGCAGCTGCTGCCATCTGCCATCGTCGCCTCCTCGCTGGCCCCGGTCGTCGTCGTCGTCGTCCTCTCGTCGTTCCTGGTTGCGCTCTTCGTTGGCCCTCCCTTCGTCAAGCCGTGCTCGTTCGTTGCCCGCGTTTCTTCAAGAGTACGTCGCAGGCCCGTCATCGTCTTCGTCCTCGGCTCCGCATCGTCAAGCGTTGCACCGGCCGCGTCTCGCCTTTGTCCAAGGATCACCGCCAAAGTCGTTCCCTCGTCGTTCGCTTCCGTCGTCCCAAGCCGCCTCCGCCGCCCGTACACCATCGTCGTTCCCACGCCTCATCGTGTGGTGGTAAGGATCCCTCCTCTCGCTGCCCCGCCCTCGTCCTTTTGGTGTCGCCCCGTGCCCGTTGTGCGGTTGTCGACCCCGGTACCCGTGTACCGGTGTCGGTAGTCGTTTGTGTGTGCGTGTGGTGACCGTGTTAGCGTGCTCGTTCGGTAGCTGTCACGCCCAGAAATTTAACCTAAATTTCCAGACTATTTCGTGTATTAAATCCCTGTCCAGGACCAGTTAGGGTACACAAAACGACAAGTAATATACAGTTCCAAACGTAAATAAAACGTAAATATTTACAGAAGAGGCACTTAGTCCTCACACTGAAACGAAAGCAGCAGCAGCGAAAAAATGCGATCCTAGAGGGGCTTCAGCTCCACTCCACAGGCAAAACTCAACTGGGGTCTGAGGCTTGGTCCTCTAACTTCGTCTTCAGCTCAGAAGCACTACACTTCTGAAAAGGGGAAAATAATAGCAAGGCTAAGTACAACCACCGTACTCAGCAAGCCACACCAATGATGCAGACGTGCAAGGGGATTCAAGAATGGCTTGTGGCTATTTGCATAAAGGCAGTTGTAAAACACTTTATTGAGCAAAACAGTAAAACAATTGAGTCATTAATGTAATATTAAATCTCTACTGATCAACGCTACACCACGTTGAACAAGCCCAACCAACCCATAACAAGCCCAACCAACCCACCTGAACTACAGTGCATTGGGTCGATTTATTAAGTATGAGACTAATCACGGTGAATCTATTCGATCGCCCATAACCGCGGGCACGGCTAATCGAATAGTTTTACTTTGGCCAGAGGTGCATAACTGTACCCACAAGACACAATCCACCGGCATGTCACCGTGCTAGGCCAGACACGTCACCATGTCGAGTGATTGTGACAAGACCCTTCATATAACCGCCTCTGACCAAACACACCACACATCAGGTTTCACCCCTGCCCCCAGCAGGCAGCGGGCAGTCCCCTCTCGTGCCTAGGCGAATCAGAAAGCCGCATAGGCCGTCGCAGGGCCCATCCGAACTCCATCACGCTCATCCTTGCCTAGATGCGTCAGCAAGCGAAAAGCTATACTTCAAGTCAGGCAGTTACCCATTCCCGCTTGTGGCAAGCGCTGTATGTCTTCCAGGGTTTCCCACGAACCGGTCCTTAATTGCCATGGGTGCGACCAGCAAAACCATGCACCCACAGCCCACCATTCAGTCGAGTTTTAGTTGGATAATTACGACCATGAAACATGGCCGGATGTCTCGAGCCGCAGCTCATCATGATACTAACAGGTCTAATACTGCAATTATCCCATCAACTGAGCTAGTGGTAATTAAACATGGCTAAGCATATAGTTCTAGCTAGATCAACAAAGTAACACAAGCTAGTCGATTTATTACCCAAGGTTGACAAAGGACAGATATCAAATAATATGGCACAAGCAAGCAGATAGGTAAACCCTGATCCCATGTAATTAGCAAAACATGCATCTTTATTTGCAAACGGTAAAAACATTTATAAATTAGGCTCAACATGCTCAAGGGGAATGTGTGACTTGCCTTGCTTCTTCAAACAATCTTCCGAACTCTTTTCCTCGCGATCAAACAATCTTGCCTTGCTTTTTCAACATGCTCAAGGGGAAAATGGAGTAGGGGCTAGGGTGAAGATCGACATGGCGATGCCGATGGTGGTGTCGGCGCGGCTCGGTGGTGGCTAGTGCGACGGGAGGCAGCGACTGGAGCACGCCGGTGAGTGGTGGGGAGTGGGAGCGCCGTGAGGAGGTGGTTCCGGCGACAAAATAGGGAAGATGAGGAGATGCCGGGGTACGGCACGACACGGGAAGCCGCTGATGGCGGTCGCGCGGAGTCGCGGCGGCAGGAGCAGTAGTAGCGGCCAGCTGGAGTCGCGGCGAGAGGAGCAGCGGTGGGGAGAGCGAGGGAGGCAACGGGAAGCTCGGGGGAGGAGGGAAAATGAGAGAGAGAGCTCTAGGTTTGTTTTTATAGGCTCGGGGAGGGAGAATCGTAGCCGAGCGGAACGGCAACGGCTGGCGAAGTGGGATGCTGACGTGGGGTGGTGGAGGAGTTAACCGGCGCCGATTTTCGCGGGGAGAGTGGGGGAAAAGGTGGAGAAGGTAGTGGGGAACCGATTTTACTTGGTTTGAGAGCGAGGGTGCGAGCGGGAGGGCGCCGGACTCGGCGGGACGTGGGCGGGAACGGCCATCCATGGCGGCTTCGGCCTGGGAAGCCGAATGTCACACCCTAAAAATCCTAAATATATAAATCGTTGTTTAATTGGAATTATTAGAATTTATTTTAAAAAAAGCCTAGAAGAGAAGATCTAATTTTAATAAATAAATTCCAATATAAAAGTGGGCCAGACAAAATTTCATTAAATACTTTGCTTAATTGTATAATTCCTAGATTTTTCTGGGATTTATTTGAGCTAAGGAAGTATTTTTAATAAATGGAATTGCATTTAATGAATAATTTAAATTGAAAAAGGTTTTTTAAATTCTCTTTTGGCTTTGGGCCGAAAGTCAGCCCAAAACCACTCTCTCTCTCTCCTCGGCCCAAGTCGGCCCGCAGCCGAGCCGCCGCCCGCGCGCGCGCTCCCGCTCGCTGACAGGTGGGTCCCACCTGTCGGACTCGTCGTCTTCCTCTGGCTGGCCGCCGCCCGAAACCCTAGCGCCGCGCCGCCGCCGTCTCCTTCCAAATTCGGCCGCGCCTTTCCGTTTCCGGTGAAATCAATAGAGGGGAAATGATCTTCGGGATCCCCTCTACCTTTTCTCTTTTGGAATCATCATCTATTTCGGTTTGGAAATCCGTGGATTCGATCTCGAATCGGATTCGTCTCTCTCCCCGAACCCTAACCTTTCCATCGCCGTCGCCAGCCGCCGTGGGCCTTCGCCGCCGCCTTTCAACCCCTTTAAAAGCACCCCCAGGTCCTCCTCTACCCGCCGCCACCCTCGCCTTCG